CTTTCAACTGACTTGCTTTGTTTCTAGAATCAACATGCCAGTCGATTCATAGTTTGCTATGCTTTACCCATGCCAATTCAAAAAACTGTCACAACAGAGGCCTTGACAAAGAGCGCCATATACAGGTACAGTAACAGGGTACTGTAGTACAAAGATGGGACTCATTGTGACTGTCAGCCATTTATCTCACTACAATAACTTCTGCGCCTAAAAACCACTGCGTTTCTGACCAGATTAACTAAGTCACATACGTCCAGCACGAGATGCCACAGTTGGCTGTCAACAAGGAGTTAAAACTGTCCAACATAACCCCAAGTGCTTTTTGGTCAACAACCTCAACTCCATAAAACAATTTTTAAGGATTTGGTCAAGAAACACTTATGCATCATTGCTCAAACCACATACCAGGCTCAGATGTTATACATTTTGAAAACAACTTGGTGTCACTATGCTCACTTTTGTGTCAATTTATGCCGCTATTTTTGATGAATTGTTGAACACTGCCACTATCTTTTAGCCGCTGAAGCCAGCTACCGTGGCAGTGATTCTTACTCTGCTGCTTCCTACATCAGTCACGGGGCCCAGCCATTTGCTCATTGCTCTATGACGGAGCCCACAACACTGATGTAATACTCAGTGACAGCCTATTGCCATCAAAATGAACTAGCATTGATACGTGCTACCAACCTCAAGATTGCAAATGTGTTAGTCAAAAGAGCAAACAACCTGACTAGCCTGGTTGACAATTGTTAAATGCCATCTAGCAACATCAATTTATAAAATCACAGTTTAGAATACTTAATCTTCATTCCTGATCACCTAAATCATTCTTATCCATCTCTGCTGAGACCACTGCAAACTGATTTCTGCACCTTTGGTCACATAATCCTGCCCATTTACCACTTTCTCAATAAGTATGACTCCCTCAATGAAAAATTACTCTTTGTTGCACTTTCCATTACATTTCAGCAGCATCTACTTGACAAAAGCCAAGGTATGTCATTAGCTCCGTCAATATGTGATTACGCTAAAGCTGCGTTTATTTCAGACTGAATTGGCCAGCTATAATGCTAGCCCTATGTATCAGATGTTTGAAACTGATATAAAGATCAATGTCAACACACTCCAAGGTGTCAAGGTCCCAATTGTTACCAAATGGAATGGAAGCTCACTGAGACACAATCATGCTTACCAAATCAATGGTGAAGTTGCCGCTGGCAGTATCAACAGCATTTCCACAATCTTTGAATAGCCAAATAACGCTATTTCTCTTAACCATGCCAAAGTTTGTCTTAACTGTCTCCTTAATAAAGTCACCACACAGGGTGTTGGCTTGATTGGAAAATGGTCATGCTGCAACAGAACTCCCAATGGGCTTGCTGTCAAATATATAAAGGTGTTGCATCAGAGCTGCACTTATCAGCCAAGGAACTCGCACTCCCCGTCACACACCACTAAGTTGACTGTTTCGATCTCAATGTCACAGCATCAACACCTTTACACCGTCTATCTCATTGATTCACACATCACAACCAACTTGAGTATGGGCACTCTGAATGTGGGTAATGTGATCACACTGTGGGGCAATGTCATTGGTCATCAAATAGACACAAATACTTGGGAGATTGAATTCAGTGTGGTTCTCAACTATCTGCTTCAATTTAATACGGAAACACGTCTGGAGAGGGCAAGAATGATGAAGGTTCAGCCCCATTGGTGGTGATGTGGGATGGCATGTGTTGACCAGAGATTTTTGCCGCACTGCAATGTGGAAAAATGGACCAGGGAGGCAGTGGCATGAGCGGGGGGGACTAGAGACGGGGGGCTATGGCTCTTTGGGGTGCAACATTAGGTGTGATAGACTTTTGGTCATGATGATGACAATGAGGATGTGCAAGGGAGCAGCATGATGCTATTCCCGGGAGGGCGGCGAGCCGCCCCCGAAGCTCTAGTTCATTGACAATCATATCATAAGACCTCTTAGGATGCAACTTCTAGAGACAAAATGCTGAAAAGTACCCAACAGTCAAGAAGACAGATCCCATAGCTGTGAGCTTGAACAAAGCCAAAGATAATTCATGCAAGAAACAAATATGCAAGATAGAATATGACCATTTCTGTTTGATTCATAACTCTTCGCAATCCTTTTATAAATGTGATAGTATTTCCCCATATACTATCTAATCAATGAACCTCATTCTACCTCATTACTAAGCTTCACCTTGCACCCACCTCACTATTTGCTTGAGTGAATTGTCTGCTTAGTGGACTTTGCATTTGTATTCCTGATTACTGTGATTGTAATCAAAGGCAATATAGAAACTTCTGTAGTTAAGTTGAACTAACCACCATTGTACTCACAGCGTTTAATTTATAATTGCACCCGAGTGAAAGTGCGAATTGCACAGCTATTCAAAGTAAAAATTACTCAAGATAGCTCAAGATAAAAGCAACAAGTGAAAGAGGCTGATTGAGACGCATTTATTATATACCGCCTGTGAAAGAAGTGGAATGCACACTTCAGTCTACACAGTCAATTATGCCCCGAACAACATCATGTATATATGTGGGAAGTTGAGAAAGTCATCACAACTACCAATTCAAGCCTCGATCATATGAGGTAGGTTTGATTCTGCACTAATTCAGTCGTTCTATAAAATCGGACTTCCAAGTGTGAGGAAAGCGGACTGGTTTGGAATGAGATGGCCGATTATAAAATATATTTTGAAACACTTGAGCAATTCCGCTTGCTACAGTCGTTTTCAAAAAGCTTGCCGCTAATTCACCGCCAAATTGCTCGAGTTTTGCGGGCAAATTTCGGCAAGCTTTTTGAAAATGACTGTATATGATCAGGCAAAGATGAGTAGCATTCGGGGTGAAGTTTAGTATGCATTTGCAAAACTTTACCCTAAACCTCCACCCAATCTGCCCAACTCTTCCGGGTAGAGTTAGGGAATATCTTCGAGATGTGATAAATGACTCTGACCAATACATGGCAAAGCTTTGGAAGAGCAAGAGGGAAGAGGCTCTTGTAAAGACTCGCTTCTGAGGCTATAATTATGTACATACTCCGATTGACAGGTTCTTGGGAGTGAGCTTGGGATTGAAGTTTGATTTTAATTTATCGACAACGTTCTTACCTATTGGAGCCTGGTGATCTAAACTTATCCCAGTCCCATGCTGCTTCTCGCACGCTTCGAGGCATTTTGATCTATTTTGATGGGGATCAAATTAAAACCAATGCAGCACCGCCGAACTGAATTTGGAAATTCACATTTGGAACACTTCATTATTGTGCGAAAACAAGCTTGACAGGCTTATTCAATCTCAACCAAATCAGATGGGTGTTTCGTACGGGGAGTTATCACATCAGTATCAATTCATGAATATATTTCATCGAAGTCAGTCCTTTCTTTAAACTCGCCACTTCACCCCTCTTCACCCTCGCAGCCGCTTTCAATCAGCCTTTGAAACACCCTGCCCTTCTCGCCTTCTTCCGCATATATTTGAACCCTGCATCCTATCACTCACAAGAGAGCGGTACTTTAAGACTTACAATTGTTTGAGACAAGACTTGCTGGAACATCCTACCTAGTTTTTTGAGTTCACCAATTTATCCTTTCATACAACAACTACCATGTCTTCCTTTGAACCTGAACGCATGTCAAGCTCTATCGACCGGGATTACAACAAGTGTCTCGTGTCTTACGACTTCCCTATGCCCAGCTTTGTTAGTCCACCCTTTATATCATTGATTTTCTAAGATTAAGCATGACTATGTACTGCAGGCTCATCATCATGTCTTTTTCAGCTCATCAACGATCCAGATGCCGATATCTACACTTCGTATATCCTGGAAGACCCTGCCATGGGCCTGGATGAAAGTGACGATATGGGTTGTGATTTTTTGGATTCGGAATATTTGACTACCTCCGTGCAATCGCCCAGCTCCTCCGCTCCTACCTTGGTTCACCGTCAAGATTATAACTCTTCTTCCAGCCCAGTCTCTATCACACTACAACGTCTTATAGATCAACAATCCCAATTAATCTCAAATGCAGTCGAGTCATGGCGAAGAAAGTTCCCGACCAACTCTTGTTTGAACTCCAATACCGACCTCTTTCGACCCTCTCAATCAAACTCTCAACATAAGTCGAGAGCGGCTACTCAGAGATCTGATTCTCACGAACAAGGTGACAAGAACCTCAATGGATCGATCCCATCACGCGCTGTCGGATCCGAATCTCCTTTACCTATTCAAGAATCTGAGACGCGGTGATAGTTTGCTCTGCTGCCTGGCATCCTCTAAACACCCCAGTCCTATCCAACCTCAACTCTTAACCAATTGCACTTGACGGAGACATTTGAGATTTAACTTCCCCCAAGCTGATTTTGGCCCCTTTATGGACTTGTTTCATCAAGTCAACGACCTGCTTTCGTTCATTTGTTTTTATTACGTAGTATATTTCATATCTTTCCATCATCGAACCAATCAACTCCTAAAAAAATCACAAAACATCCAAAAAAAACTATTTTATTTTATTTATCAAATTTTCCATTTCAAAATGTGTCGATGTAGAACTGATATGTCAATATTCCATCAATAAGTGTCAATATTTGTCTTCCATTTTCACTCCCTTTTTTCTTGTCCTTTACTGGCTGTAGTGAGATTCTTCATACTTTCCTTGTACAATTGTTCTTCTTGATTTTAATTTTAATTTTATGCTGTATCCAAACTTAGTCGCGTTCTTTGAAATCATACGAATAGGTACATTTCTTGAAAACACCGAGCAAATCATGGGTTTGATGTCCATCAAAGCAAGCTTTCAATTCTGTGCCCGCTTGCCCCAGCTGTAATGAGATTGTAGTAGGACTTCAACTTCAACTTTGAAAGACAATCAGTGCTTTCAAAGGACTCCAGTGTCAATATCAACCTCAAGGCACTCTAGTTCACGTTGCAACTTTTGAAAGTATGACACGGGAAGCAAGCTGTTCAGAGACTTGATCAACTTTACATCCATAATGGTGATTAGCATATGTGAAATTCTTACTAAACATTACCACTTCCTATAAAATACAACAAAGACTTTGAGCTAAAAAGGGCTGATTCCGTCTTTTGAGTTACACCATGACTATTGAAAATTCTGCCAAACTTCCTTCACCATATATACATATCCACTGCAAACATTGTGTCTCATTGAGAATAGTCTGTACCAGATTTATCTCAGACTCTGGTGAATTGTAGACATTGATTGGCTTTCTGCCCTGTAGGTCACTATCACCAGATAAATATCAAAACCAGTTCTAATCATTACATGTCCAGGTTCATAGTGATGTTATTTATCAGTTTTTATCAAGTAAATCTGGTACCAGAAAATACCATCCCACTCATAAGCCTTTGGCTCACTCCTTAGATTAGGAGGCTTACACCACTCAGACATATGGTTGTAGTAGTGGTGAATCCTTCCCTTATAGGCTGCAGTTCAGTCTGGGAAGGGAACAAACCAGGCCCAAAATCACATCAAAGGTAACAAAGAAGTGAAGAATTCTATAAGTGAGATTAAATTCCTTCAAAGAAAGATCAACAGAACCAGACCCAGTTGACCCAGTTGAAAACAACTGGGCAATTTAGTTTCTTTATAGAGGTTAGTCTTCCTCAAACAAAAATCACAAAAATAATAATAGGTGCCTTCAACCTAGTGAAAAATTGAAATGTCAAAAAGAAAAATTGTCAACCGTGTAATTACAATAATACAAGGCTGTAGTGCAATCACAAAGTTAGGTTTTGTATTTGGAGGGGGCCTTGCCTGTCCTTCCTCATAGGGCTTCACAATTCTGAAGAAGCAAAAAAGTATGTACTGGAAAACTTTCATTGCACTATTGCTCTGTATCAGTTGTATCTAAATTACATGGTTCAAAGATTTTCTTTTCAAGTTTTTATTTTTTTTCTAGTTTGAAGGCACAATATACAAATGCCAAAAATAGAAAACATTGATTGAAATGGTTTGATCACTTTGTACACAATATTTAATGTCTCACTGCTGCTATAGTAAGCTCTCTGAAATTTATAGTACCACTTTCAAACAAGATCAATCTAGGCATCATCTACCTTGGATGATATATTCAAGACCTTGAGTGAAATGATGCTTATGACCTGAAAAATCAAGGACCATTTTGAGGTACCTATTGCACAGCTTTGCATCTTAAGTTCACACTGCCACTCATTGAGATTTCAACTCATCATAAAATCATTTCCACATAATCAATTACCAAACCTTCATATCATCAACAATCTTATGCAGGTTTAGCAAAAAAATATAATAGAAATTCAAAAAAAAAATCACAAAGTACAGAATATAGATATATATAGTACAAAACTAATACAAATATTTGATTCAATTCCAATGAATTTCAAGTCCTCTAAATCAAATCAAATCATCACTTCAGATTTAACTATGTAGTCTATGTTGTTGGTCCAGGATGATTAGTTGAAGCTGAAGGAGGTCTAGGAGGTGAACTAGCTAAAGGAGGTGTAGCTCTACTTTGAGTGGTTGTAGTACCAGAAGATCTTTGAAGTGTGTTTTGCTGAGCTGTAGGATTTTGAAAGAATAGTTGTGACTGTTGTTGAAGATGTTGCAACTGTGGGTGTTGGATTTGTATCTGTGGTTGCGAGTATTGGCTAGCATGTAATTGTTGATCAAAATGTTGTTGTTGTTGTTGTTGTTGTTGCTGCTGCTGCTGTTGCTGCTGCTGCTGCTGCTGCTGTTGCTGTTGCTGTTGCTGTTGCTGTTGCTGTTGCTGCTGTTGTTGTTGTTGCTGTTGCTGCAAGTGCTGCTGTTGTTGAAGAGGTGAAAGAGTTCGAGTGACATTATTAGCTTGCGATATGTTGTGTGCAAGGGAAGGTCCGGACGTAGGATGGCCTGTCGGTCCAGAAGAAGCAGCGGAGCTCGCAAGCGTATGAAGACTTGGGTTTAATTGAAAGGCCTGAGTTGGTATGGTAGGTAGCTGCTGTACTGCAGAAGGGTGAGTGGCTGTGGCTGTACTCGTAGCAGATATATTACCAAGTGGTGGGTGTATGTTCTGTTGTGTCATTGGATTGGCGGGAGATCCTCCGCCAATCCCTATTCCATAGCGTTGTGAATTGAGTTGACGGTTTAGACTGGCTCCAGATGCATTCCCGTTTTTCCCTTGTGTGATAGGTGGCTGTGACACCATACGAGCAGGTATGTTACCATTTGCATGAATGCTAGCACCATTTCGAAGAGGGATTTGAGCAGCAGCAGCAGCTCGGGCCTGGTGAATTATCGACTCCTGCTGCATCTGAAATTGTCGTTTGGCCATCTCCAGAGCGACCTGGCTTTGCCGATCCCTTTCGGCTTTCAAAACGGACATTTCCAGGGGCGTCATATAAGGTCTGATAGCCTGCGCGTGCGTCTCGTGTGCATTTAAACAAATTGTCCGTGGTTGACCGGGTGGCACTACAAAATTCAGTATCAATGATTAGCTTCGGAATAATTATTTATACATATCTAAGTCTTACTGAGTTTGCGTAGCTCTTCCGCCCGCTTTCTTTCGTCCTCGGCCCGCTTCTCTCTTACTCGTTGCGAAATCTCATGAACAGCTACTTGACGGGAGACACGTTTAGCAGGAGGCGGGGAGGAAGTAGAGGGACGTTTGAGTTCGTCTTCACGCATCGATTCTGATTGTAGAGATTCTTCCACTGGTAGAGGATTCGGCGGAGCCGGCACGGTCTCGACTGATGGCCCTGGTGAAGATTCAGCGACTGGAGGTATAGCCTCTTCTGTAGGTTTTGAGGATTGATTCAAGCGACTCCAGCATTCAAAACAATCTCGTGGCGTGACACGGCCCATCAAAGAACCAGTTGATGTCACGTTGAAAATGTCAGCAACGATAGCCCAGTTAAGATTATAAGTGGTGCATAAGCTTTTTAACAAATTTTCATCCGCTGTAGTCCACGACAAAGACTGCTTGGGACCCTTGTTTTCAGACGGTACAGATGGAGAGTTGTTTGTCGTGTTGTTTTCTTTAGATTCCCGAGATTTCCGCCCGGAGAATAGATAAGTGGAATTCGGTATAACTTCCGTCCTTCCTTCAGGCAATTCACGCAAGTCTTCTACTGACCATGCCGATAAGTTTTTCCATTGCCCTCCTACACAATTTTCCGAGGGTTTCAGGGTGCTAACAAGCAAAGGTTTTGATTCAAGATGTTTAGGAATTCGAGTGATACGACCATGATAAGGGCTTGCTTCATCGGCACGCTTGTCAGATAGATGATCCAGATCGCCAAACAAAGGAAGATCGCTGAACATCTTGTGCAATGCACATCTTTCAAGTACATCAGAGTTTGATTGAGAAGATGCGCCATCCAAAAGTTTTTCGTCTAGCTCGATGGTTGTCTGGTCAGGTGGAATGTTAAATATAGACATCCTGGCAAGTGTTGTCCGCTGATGGGATTTACGGGAGTCAGCGTTCTGTGACACCGCGCCTTCAGGGCCCAGAGCTCCTTTGCGAGATGTAGCGCCTGTACTCGTATCCGCTAGAATTGAGCCCTTGAGTGATTTCATGGACCGAGAGGTTGCCGGCGAGTTCTTCGATGATGCGTATGGTGAGACATCTTCAGGTGGCCCAGCCGAAACGTTGGATATGTCCGTTGCATCCAATGCATTTGTTTGGTCTTGGTCTTCTTTGATTTCTTGTGAATTTTCGCTATTTGTACAAACAGAAACTTGAAGGGCTTTTCTACCAGTCGAGTCTGAGTGGTGCCATTCTTTTACTTTGTGGGCGAGATGATATGCAGTCGCAATTTTCCACCTCCGTTCTTGCCGGAAGTCAGTCTGGAGCCATGACTAAAGAAAATAAAAAGAGATACAATGAGAACAACATGTCATTTGTATGTCTTGAGATCAGAGCCACGAACCATCTCGTCTAATAGATGATCCCAGTGTGCCTTTGTGATGTGAGCGATACGAGGCTTTTTGAGTTGAGTGTAAGCCCACGACTTCTCTACTTTCTTTCGTTCGATAGCCTCCAAGGCCTTCGTAAGCTTGAGTTCCTCAAATACAGTCTATTTTTAGGCGAGTCATTAGCGTGTGGCTTCAAGTAGAATAGTTGTTAATCAAATCACGGCCGACTTGCCTTCCAGTCAGCTGAGGTCAACACGTTTTTAAGTCGAGCAGCCTCGGGGTGAGACTTGACCCTTGCGTTTTCGGGGTGGCCCAAAGCCGCCTTGAGACCTATATGATGGTTCTTGATATTCAACTTTGATAGTTCATTGCTTCCTGGTCCAACCCACAATCCAGCTCGGGCGGCCTGGCGACGCCAATGCTTCGAGTTGGCTCCGGGTAGAGGCTGAGCACCTAGCAGCCGACTAGTGATGATAGGGGCTGGAACAGCTGGTAAATTGTTTACATAGTCTTGAGAGACATATTGGTTGGGCCGAGGTGATTGAGTAGCTCCATCAAATAGGAGTGATGGCATTTTTGTTGGGCGAGCTTTGCGCGGCGAGAGTGTGAGGATATTGGGATTGATAGTAGAAGCGCGCGGAGGATTCAATGTGTTGGAGGTTTGTATATTCGACGAGTCTGCAAGCCCATCTCTTATGGGCGATGCCGTCTCCGCGCGTGAATCCGAACCGCCAAGCTTGACATTTTCAGTACCAAAGGATGAGATATGTGATGAGTCTTCTTTATCCAACGACATTTGGTGGATTGCTGGCGAAGTCTCCTCCGACTCTAAGTTCAATTTGGATTGGTCGACTACGTCATCAACATCCATCATCACCGGTTGGGTGGACAAGTCAAACGCAGATTCTTTCATCGAGCCACCGATAGAAGAAGGTATAGTCTCTTTGAATCCTGATGGCGAATCTTTGGTTTTGGTAGGTATTGTGAGATCTAATTCGCTGAGTGAACTGATGAATGGTTATATTCATCAGTTCTTCGATCAATGTATAAAGAAAGGACATAGAAACCCACTGGCCACCGATTGTGAACTTTTCCACAAAGGCATGCAAACGTGCTTCGCGATCCGACCCCGGGTAGATCGTTCGATAGCGTAACCCAGCACCAAGTTCACCCACGTGGTCAAAGTCTTCAATGGCACTGAAGAGATCACCCAAAAGTTGTTTGTACGATTCCTTGCTCGCTCTGAAAGGGAAGCAATACAGATCAAGCGGGTCAGAGTCAAAGGCTTTCATAGTAATCATGTAGGAGCGCTAGTTGTACTTACAAAATTTGGTCATTTTTGATTTGAACGATGAGTCCTCGAGCGTTTGAAACTTTTGATTGTAGTTGCTGTGATGTTCGAAGAGGTTTTTGAGAAAGTTGTCAAGATCGATTATGAATAAGGTGATGGTTTCAATGAGTGAATGATATGGAGGTCAGGTTAAACCACAAACCTGTCCATCCGGAGGCATGTTGAATCTGGAGATTTATAGATTCTGTAGGATCCACATCAAATCGAGAATGATGAATACGATTAATGGTGTCACACTTGATTTCTGTTCTGCTTGATTTGATATTCGTTCTCAGCTTCGTTATAGTCCTTGCTTCGACTGGTGATGGTGGTTCAAGACCGTTCGTTCGTTGCCTCATACTCAACCCATAATCATCTGCTAACCGCAAAATGTATGGGTTTAGCTTCAGCAAACCTCATAAAACCCATGTCAAGTGTGAGATTATAGAGCCCAATCATGTGTAAAGGAAGGTATACAGGCTCAGCAAGCATTTTTTGAAAAACTGTTCACATCCTGAAAGACCAATCAGCGAGGTGTCTCATGAAGAACCAAGTGAGCATATGCCTAGTAGAAGTGAAACTCATATTTTACTCTATCCACAAAGTCTGAATGATTCAAGCACTGATAACCTACTCTGATGCAAACATGTGTGCCACTGCCACATACAACTATACCAGCATCATATATAATGTTGTAAACAAGAGCTTCCCCTACAGCCCAAGTTTGGAACACTCTTTCATGATTGGAGCTTGAACAATCTTTGGTTTCAAAAATCTGATTATCTCTACACCTTTCAGACACCTTCAAGGTAAATGATTGGAAAGTTTTTGGATGTCTTGTTTGTTGATCCAAGCTTGCATCTGAAGGTCCAGGAGGCATTGAAACCACGTGTGATCTTCAGCATGCTCCAATCCAAAAGCTTGCAAAACATGATTGGTTTTCATCTGGACAAATTCTCAATCAGAAGGATCAACATACCTCAGTGAGTATTTTCAGGTCATGTTCAAATTTTGAAGGCTGGTTGATGGCCTGACCTCCAGCTACCTCCAGCTCCTTTGACCAGCTGACTTGGGTTTACATAGAATGCGTGATGGGGCTCATGGCCATCTTGGAGGCTAGGCAAGTAGCCAGACTGCCACAAACTGTATCCAGAGTCAAGACACATGAATGAATTGAGCCACCATCTTTTGAGGATACCACCACCCACTATAGCAGAGCGTATAAATCAAGTGGTTTCATAAGCATGATCCTACCAGTTGCTGGATGTACCCAATTTGATGTGCTGAGGGGATGATAGATATCCTAACTTCGATCAAGGTTTCCAGAGGAGATAGACATTTATATATTGTTACGTTAAAGTTGACAAGTTTGCAATGCAGTCTGTTATTTCAATCATGTATATATATTCAATGAAAAATCCGAAGCAAAAAGAAAACACAATGTCAAAAAAAATACCCAATCCCCAAAAAATGCATTCTAGTGCAGATGTGACATGAATTTAAATGTTGTAGATGATGTATAGAGAAGAATTCTCAACAGCACAAAAGTAAAACAGAGCAAGTTTTGAAACGAAGCCAAAGAGTTTGAAGGTTGTTGCAGCAATGAGTCGGTCTAATAGTATCATATCAAAAGTGAAGCCGTGCAGAAGTCTTCTGGAGAGAGTACAGTAACTTTAATTGACGAGGAGTTAGATGGTGTACAAGGTCGCTATCAATCGAAATGTGGTGTCCGGCTTGGTGTCTATGACAGAAATAGATTGCGAGGACGGGTATTAGAAAATTTTATCCGGAAGTCGTCGGCATCAGGAACTCTCCGGCTTGTTTGCGAGTTCGTCGAGCTATGTATGGTTCAAGAATCAAACGACATGAGTTCCCTTGATTAGCAACAGAAGGGAAGAGACATTAGGGTTGCTTACATCAATAGATAACTCGACATCGTTTTCAATGTTTCTCGTCACTAGCCACCTCCGTTTGCCCGTTGCTTCATCATCATTTGGTACATTCTCCTGTCTGAGTATCCAATTAGAGGGTGCAGAGTCTTGACTTTGTGAGAAGGTAGGGCATCGTTTCTTCAATTCGTTTAATTTTAAGGCGATTTGATCATCAAGATCATCGAGTTCTACATCTTTGAATTTGGCTAACGTTAATGTGGGTTCAATCTTAGTACAGCTGAGAATATCATCTAGCTGAAAATCAGAGAGTTTCTGTTCCAATTCGGCGGCAGTGAGCGAGATTGAACTGCTTGTTGTATCACCCATTGTTGTAAAGGTTATTGAGGTGGACACGGGTTGCGATGATGGCTAGAATTTGTTGAGATGATGAAAGTATGGATTGGAATGAAGATGCAGAAAGCGAAGGGTTTGAACTTGGTTGGAGCCGCGGACTCAAGAGAGTTTTGATGACAGAAAGGACATCTCAGCCCACATCATTGTCGTGCTGCTTGAATGGGACTTATGTTACGCTACCATTAAAGTTTTACACGACTGGACCAGAAAGCCTTTGTGTGTAACATGTCAGCCATTCATGTCCTTTTGTATCGAAATTCAAGACCACGTATTCTTTGTTCTCAAGCAATTCTTTTTCTCAAAGGTGACCAATTCTATCATTTTGCATATCTCACAGTAATAGTAGACCTTCTAAAGGACTTGTGCCTATGGAGGACGAGAGTTGCAAGCAAGGACCACGTCAAATTATGCCCTAAAATTATCATGTTGTGGGCGCGTGCTTGTGTGCGAGCTCGCCCGGGCGCGACAAAGCTTCATCGGAAGGGCGTGTTTGCCACTGTGGCGCGTCAGGCGCGCCCGTTTCCCAAAAACAAGCAGAATAAAAAGCAAGACAATCTTCTACATACACCCGCAGAGGCCAGTATTAGAGTGCCAGCGGATATGTACAAGTTGCCAATAAAAAAACTCTAGTCTCTGAGTGCAAGGTATGTAGATTGCAAGAAATATCACCTTTGAAGAAAGTTGACTGCGACTCTATACGCACAAAAATCTTACAGTGACTTGCTTACATCTTTTGGACAAGGCTCTGTCAAGTGACAACAGATTGGAGCAAGGAAGATTGTTGGTTGAATATCTCAATATTACAATGAAGTACACTGCTCAACCCAAAGCATGAATAACTTGACAAAGCAACAGCCGAGACAGGTCGAAGGGACTTTTGCCAAGGCCCTGTTGGTGTTGGAAATTTGGAAATTTGTGAAATTTGGCCACATTTTGCGCTACAACACAATGATGCTTGTACTTTTTGAGGTAAAGATTGTGTTCCAACTTGAGTCTTTTAAGAGGAAATAAGCATTCAATGATTTGATTGTTCTTGAGCGTAATCCAAATCTTGGTTGACCTGATTTTTGGATTGAAGTTGACTGTCAATACATTCAACCATAGCCATGGATCTCATCTGTATCTCCTTGAGACTTGAGAATAGGGCTATGAACTGGCCCTGCAGAAATTGCAAAGGCACAATTTTTTGGTGTCCAAGGCCTAATTCTGACCCTTGAATTTTGGCCTGTTTTGGCCGTTACAGTGGAATATCTTGATGAATACTAGTGCTGTAAGCCTGGAAGCTGTCCCAAACAAAAGCCTTCATTCTCACACAAATTTTTATGTCTTGTACTATAGGTGTACAAAAAGCACTGTTTTGTGCCCAAAAACCTTGCCAAAAAAAGGTTGAAATTCATGTCAGGAACCTCTGTAGGCGTATTACAGGGTCTTTCAAAAGTGCATGCTTGGATATCAGAGGTATTCAAAACTTGTATGTGGTGTCCCAAAAAGTCTCCAGAAGTTACATCCAGAAACTTCTGGATTTCAACTCCAATTTGGAGACTTTATGCACACCTGACATATCTATGCAACAGAGCCTTCTAAGGCCCTTTTTGGTAGCAATTAAATCTACTGTGGTATTTGCACAATCACAGCAAAATAATTTCAATGGTATTTTTACAAAATTCTTGTTGCCAATTAAATTTAATTGCCTCCAATTAACTCTGTTCATAGAAAGTTCACTTATCAAAAGTTGACCTCTTCCCATACCTCACGTCTTTATACCTCCTCTCATCCACCTCAATTCTTTATCCTATACATACCTCCTGTCATCCAACTACATCATCTTGTCAGTAAAAACTGCAATGAATATTGGTGATTTATCAATATCATCAATTCATGATCTAATTACTTTATCACTATCATCAACTCATCAAAATCATGACTTTGCTTATAGGATTGTTTTTTGATATCATTGCTTTTTGAATATCATAGCTCTATCAACACCATTGTTGACCAGTGTCATCATTTGATCAATTCCATCATTTCAATGAGATCATCATTCTCATTCATTACATGAGGTACAGAGCAACATGACAAGCTGATTGAGATATTTATATGTTGATAACATTAGCTGAAGTGAGATAACAAAATTTCATTCTATTTTATTGAGCCTGATTCAATAATGAGAAAATGTAGTTAGAATGTGATCAAACAGTTTTGATTAATGATCAAGCAACTAGTTTGAATTGAGATCAATGAACCAAGTGTGTGAGTTTTGTTCAACATGATCAAAGGAGAATTGATGATGCAAAATTTAAAAGGTGGAAAATAATTGGAGTTTGGTTTTGAGTTACCAAACAATTTTTTGATTACCACCACTTATTTTTTTACTCCAATGAATTATGAGTTTGAACTTTTACTATTGAATTTGGGTGTTTATGCATTACACTTTCACTGTAGTGTACAAAAATATGCTGCAACCAAACAGAGCCTAAGTAGAGTCTTTGGAGTCCAGAGGTTTAGGGGTGCTCTCAAATATTACTAGAAGTGTCCGCAAGTGACATCCAGAAACATTTTAGAGAGTGCCCAGAAGTTTCTGGATGTCACTTATGAACACTTCTGGGACATGAAACAGGAGTTTTCAATACCCCTATTGGCAAGCTAGGTGAGAGATATTGTAATATAGTTTTGGTGATTTGTTGCTTCAAAGTCCATTTGATAGCAGGGCACAGATATGCAGGGGACTCCTATAGCTCTACCATCTAAGTTCTAACCCAAACATCCTACAATAGGTTGATCATCATAAAGGCTTAAGCTCCCTAACCTTTCCACAGGCTTTATCTACCACTACACAAGCTTACCCTGTCAAGTAAGTATCATCTTACATGTGGTGTGGGGGTGGTCTCAGGGTAATCAGCCCCAGACAAGCATAAGAACTGTGCTGAGGTTTGTTACCTGTGAGTATGAGAGCAGGCCTGGAAAGGGTGGACTTCTCAACACCCAGTTAATGGGTGGGTTTTTACTTAAATCAAAAAAAATAATCTTTCTGCAAGGAGAAGAAGAGAGGAAGACTACTGAAGGAAAACTAGTGTGTTGCTTCAAGATGAGGAGGTGGCTAGAGAAGAGAGTGAAAGATTTTTTTCACTTTCTCCCAAATTTGACAACACGTGAACCCTTACCTACCATCAAGGACTTCCTTCTTGAGGGCTGCACCATTTGTGTGCATACCATTGTCGGGTGTATACCGCGAAGGGGATCACCCGACTGTATATTCCCGAGTGGCTCGAGGTAGCCAACCCGAGCCTGTACTATGTAGTACCGTGCGAAGCGAGGCATTGCCAATGATGCTCGTTTTGGTCAGTTATACGAGATCATCCCGACAGAATAACGGCGTGCGTACTTCTGACATCCACGCGGAATTTTTCCAAGCTTCGCGCAGGATCCAGTTCTTTGGCGAATTGTTCAAGTCGACGGTTAACAGGGGTTGGGCAAAAAAGCGACCAACCGGTTTGCAAACCCAATTCAGTCGCAGTTCAAAAATTTTGGAATGCTTTCGACATTGCTCGAAAGCAATATGAAAGCCACTCAAAACTGACAAACATTTTTGTCTGTCTTTTTGTGTCGCAAAAAAATATACCGGTATGAAGTGTTTCTTCACAACTCCAAAGCTGTCGCCATTCAAAAGTCCTACAGGGCTAAGCCATTTGTGCCGCTACAAGCCACACAAATGCTCTGTTCACCTTTTACAGGTCTCTGGTCTCTTCTGTGAAAGGTGCAACAGTCTACCCGAGTACCACCTGGTGTGGATTTTGCTGAGCAATCGGTGGGGGCTGGAGGAGGAAAACCAGAGCCAAAGACTGACTTTGGGACTCTTCGGGTCCCTGGCAGAGCGGCAGACCTCGGCAGACCTGTGAAACCTTCACACAATTGATTTCGGCCATCTTCGGCTCTTTTTGACTCACTTCTCAAGGGCGCAAAACCGGTTGGTCGCTTTTTCGCCCAACCCCTAACATCGTTTGAAGAAATATAACCTATAGAGACATCTTGATTGAATTGAATCAATGATGACCCTTATCATTAGAAACGTTCGATCAGTGAAGAGCGGCTTATGTTTATGGGATTTGTGTATTCTAGGATTTCTAAAATCCTGGAACCAGAAGCATTTTGTCAGATTGAATCCTTCAATCTGTTTGATTCCTGTTGAAAGGAAGGTTAGAAAAAGGCATACAGTTGACTCGATTTTGATGACAATGAGCTTGTCAATGAAGAGGATAACAAAAACAGTGACTTCTGCGTTTCTTTATCCAATCGTTGGATCCTCATCGCGGTTGGTGTTCCATTAACAGAGTGGAATAAGTTTTGATGGAAGAGAAGACAAGCGACAAAAGAAAAGTATCCGAGTGCCTGGACAGTGACAGCCCAGGTTGAGTTGGGGAAATGTCAGTAAGGATCATAGACATGTTACCCCAAGGAAAGAAGTCCGACAAGCGATGGATAGGATCTCAATAATATTGAATAATCATATGGGAAGGATATTACAAAATTATTGCGAAGTAGTTGCGAAATAGCTCATCTTTCGTATTCCTCTACTGAATTCATACCAGCTACAAAATCCGTACAGAGCTTTTTTCGTAATCCACCTCAGTCTTATTATCCTTTTGTCGATTGAAAATTTTTCTCTTAAAATCATAAGAATCAAGAAGAACAATTTTTTTATTTTTTGAAAGTTATAAAAATTGTGTTAGAAGTACAAAGTTGATGGCCGAGAACTGGGTGAATCAAAACAGAGATGTTACAGAAGGTTTACAGGCACTTCTTAAGGAGTACGACGAAGGTGGCGGAAGTGGAGCTTACGAGATGGCAACTCTCAGGGCGGCTTTCGCGAACTGGATACCATTCGATCACGAATTTTTCCACCGACACTTCTCAATGTTCGCGACTGAAGCAGTGGCGATGGATCTTAGAGCAAACAGATTCTGCTACCCGATTGGAGGAATACCACCAGACCCAAGTGTGCCAATCGGAGACACACCGCCATATATTCAACCAACGCAATTACTTCAGAACGTTCAGCATTTCGGAGAACGAAACAGGCAAGGAGGTCAAGAGGGAGAAGGTGAAGTCGAGAGAAGAGAAGGTGAAGGAGGAGGAGATCAGAGAGAGAGGAATGAAGAGAGAAGAGAAGATAGAAACAATGAGTCTAGAGAAGAAAATAGGAGGAGAAAGAGAGATAGAAGAAGTAGAGAAGATAATTCATCATCAGACGAATCACAATCAGGAACTCAAAAGAACAAAAATCATGTATGGTCTTTCATCAAAAACAAGAACAATGAAGATCAACCTTTACCTCAAGAAGCACTCGACATGAACAAACTCATTAAGGAGTACAGAGACAACAACTTGTTTGATGCGGTGTTTAACTTCGTTTGGTACTCGGGAAAATCTCACAACTTTCCAGATGCGTTGGTTCAAGATCTTCTTCAGTACAAGTTCATTGATCTGGAAAAAATCAACGCGGGACCAATTACCCCGAATTTCAGTTTGGCATCAAGATCGAAAGATTCAGACCCAGCAGCAAAAATCAAACCGAAGCCGTTTGTTGAAGCTACCGAATGGAGAGATGCGGTGTTTTACTTGGTGGAATCCCTCAGTCTGGCATTTGTGAGTCCATAACTCATAGAGCTCATACCGCTCAATATACCGCAGAAGTCTTGATATTGATTGTTTGATTTGGATGTAATATGTTGTACATACTACAGGGTTGTGCTGAAGAATCATTCAAGAAGTATGAAAAGCATCTTCGTATTATGGAAAGGACTTTCCGCGAAAGGGTTAGTCCATATATTTCCTATACCGCTCTACCTATAATACCATATATACATGGAAAAGTTAAATACTGACAAAATGATACCATGATATAACATGACAGGGAAACTGGCGAGACGTTATACCGTACGACATTGCTTTACGTCAAGCGTTCGCCACACGTAGACATCTATCCTTTGCAGACTATGCAAGTGACGAACTCTCACATCTCAAACATCTGGCACTGGCAGATAAAGAGAAGTACAGAGGAAATTCAACCTACGATAAGTCATACGCACACACTAGTCCACAAGTCCCTAGAGCATCTTCTTCTAGATTTAAATCCGACAAGAAACCAAAGATGGAGCACCCCTGGGCCGGTAAGGTCAAGGATACGAAAAACCTCCCAATATGTCAACAGTTATGTGGAGGGTGGAATCTTAACAAATGCCACAACGATAAATGCCCATCAGGACGAATTCATAACATGTGCGACTTTATTAACTGCTACGAGTCTCATAAGCGCATCACTCATAAAAATTGAGGATGAAAATTTAGCACTTAATTCTCAAGAGAGGGATTTTTATACGAAAGAATGGTTGTCAAAGGAATTAACAAACGATGATTTTGGCATAAGGAAGTTTAAAAGAGGGCTGGAATGGGACTGGACTGGAGCACTAGGTTATTCAAACGCAATAGATTCAAGTCTCACAGCTTTACCTTTAGATTCTCCACCCTCCATCAAAGATGATCCTTGTGCAAAATATGCATTAGATCAATATTCTCATTTATTTTCATTAGAATGTCCAATAGACGTCAAGATGTTCGAATTCCTCCTATCAGATCACCCAAATCAACCGTTTGTGAAGTCGGTGGTAGCAGGTTTGAGAGAAGGATTTTGGCCAATGGCAGACATTCCATCTGGAAAAACGATAATGGTGAAGAATCACGGTATATGCAATGATCATCCAGAATTGCTAATAGCAGCCAGAGACGCAGAAGTAGCAGAAAGAAGATACTCAGAAGGTTTCTATACTTTACTACCGGGAATGAAAGTTTCTCCTTTATTGTTAGTAGAAAAGAAAGGTTCATCAAAAATGAGGGTCTGTACAGATATGAGTTATGGATCTCCATCATTGAATGATTATATTATAAAGGATAGAATAAGAGTATCGTTCGATTCTTTAATTTCATTTGCACCATACATAGTGGAGATGAAGAGAAGAGGTATCAAACTTCTTTTATGGAAATCAGACGTCCAAAATGCATATCGTATCTTAGCAATGGCTTTATTATGGCAGATACGTCAAATAGTCAAAATAGGAAACACCTTTCATATTGATAAATGTGCAAATTTCGGATCGGCAGCTTCGCCGAAATTATGGTGTTCATTCTTTTCACTGGTTTTGTGGATTGCAAGGACACGTATGGGGTTGACTCGGATTAATAATCTAATGGACGATACGTGGGGAGTATGTCCAGCGAGTTCCATGGTTCCGTTTAAAGGACATCAAGTTCCTCTCGACCAAGCAAAACTACTCATGTTATTCGATCTTTTGAACATTCCATGGGAATGGAAAAAACAAATATATGGAGAAGAACTTGAAATCATAGGTCATTTGGTCAAAGCGAATGAGATGATGTTTACTCTACCGGAGCTGAAGAAATCAGACTTAATATCAGCGTTGCGAAACTTCACGAAATCAAAATCCAGGACATTAAGAGAATGGCAATCGATGCTGGGATGGGCATCCTGGGGTTTGAATTCATTTCCAATGGGAAGATGGTCACTGCAGTCTTCATGGGACAAGATCAGCGGGAAAACTCACAAATCACTGATAGTACCGCACAACAAAACTATACAAAAAGACCTTAGATGGTTAGCAGATCAATTAGAGAAGTCAGATGGAAACTTATTCTTAGAATCATGTGTATGGCAGATAAAAGATGCGGATTTCATTTGCACCGCAGACGTGTGTAACCACGGAATAGGGGTGTGGCTTCCGAATTCAGCCGAGGGGTTTCATGCAGCTTTATCCCTTCCATCAAGGGACATATACTGGGCAGAACTAGCGGCAACAGGTCATGGTATCCTGATTGGGATAGAAAGAGGTGCTAAAAAGATCCTAATTTGCTCCGATTCGTCGAACGTCTGTGATCTGTTTCTTTCTCACCGACCAGTAGATAAAGTAAGAGATATGTTTTCAGCGTTAATATCGAGGATATTACTAGCAAAGGTGGATGTGTGGGTGTGTCATTTACCCGGAAAGAAGAACATCTACGCAGATGCGTTATCAAGGGGTCTAATCACGGAAGTTTATGAAGAGATGCCATGCGCGAGGGTAGAGGAGCTAGAAGCCTTTAAAGAATTGCCAGAAGGCGGATTTCCTACAGACCACAACAGAAATGTCGTTCCCCTCCCGAAAAGAACTTCTAGACGTGATAGCAAGATCAGATGCTGATAAAGCGTTAGCATCGTCTACAAAATCGAAATACAGATCTGCTATAATTTCATTCCTAAATTTTTGCCGACAAGAAAATTATAATCCAATTCCGACCATTAATTGTTTATCTGCTTTCATCTCTTATTCCTGCAGAAGAATTAGCCACAGAACTGGCAAACCGATTTCTCCAAGAACAGTAGAAGCTTACTTATCAGGAATAGCTTCGGCATTCTCCCCAATTTTTCCTCAAATCACATCCATAACTAATCATCAAGAAGTTAGAAAAGTACTCAAAGGCTGCAAGAAGCAATTTTCTTTACCGATAGCAAGAAAAGAACCATTATCTATCTCAGATCTCATTTTAGTCTCATCTACTTCAAACAAAGATTTCGATTCAATTTTATTCACCGCCATGCTAGTTGTAGGGTTTCATTCGTTACATCGTTTAGGAGAAATCACAATACCTGACAGTAAACAATTCCGAGATACTAGAAAGGTGATTTCTAGATTATCAGTGGAAGTATCGAATTGTGGTAACTTCATCAGATACATACTACCTTATCATAAAGGGGATCCATTTTTTCTAGGATCAACTGTAATCATCAATAAATGCGCAATTGAAGGAGCTTGTCCAGTGGAAGCGTTACTGAATTATCTAAAAATCAGAGACAGAGCCTTCATCGTTTCGCCATCACTATTCATTACCAGCACAGGAGCTTTACCAACGCGATCATGGTTCTTAAACAGATTTCATACGTTTTTCGATAAGAATAAATCAGGACATTCGATGAGATCAGGAGGAGCTTCCGCGCTAGCACAAGCAGGATTACCGTCAGATCACATACAAGATTTAGGAAGATGGTCGTCAGAAGCGTTCAAGATATATATCAGAGACCATCCGATTATGCGCCTACCATTGTCGAGGAAATTTCCTTTAACAGTAGATGGCCATCTGGGAGCAGGTGTGACGTTTGGAAATACCAGACGTCAATGATATAGTAAGTAATAATGATCGATTTCTAAATAAGATAGTTGATAATAGATGTGGAGGACAGAGTCGTGGAAAAAACGAGCGTGTTTTAAAAGGCAGATTGTTCACACACTGACACGTTTGTTTGCCTCCATCACCAGTCTTTGTTTACCATCACCATTCTGCCAATAGGCGGGCGGCAAACAGGGGTTCTTTGTGTTTCAGTTTATAGACAAAGTAATACAAAGGACTTTGTTTGTGCGTGCCGTGTAAGGCACCACTCCGCGTACCACTAGCAGCCTCGAGCGAAAGCGTAGACGGCTAATCCATCAAAAGACTCATTTCTCAGAACTTCTACTATCATCGCCTTAGGTTATGATAGTACTTCTATAGTTTCGTACTTGTATATTTGAGTTTGACTTTCATGGTGCTTAATAGATAGAGGATACTTATTTACAAATCAGATATCAGAATGTGAATGATAATCTTCAACTTTGAACCTTAACTTTGGCCTGTTGTTTTGATTGGCTTTATTTTGCTTCAAGCTCATCGAATTGCGAGTAAGCATTCAATCTTGATACAATTCAGAGCAATCTGAGTAGTTTCTATTTTTCAACTTTGACGTTAAGCTTAAGCTTACATGATCGGTTGAACGTCCATTCTTGCGTAACCTCATCAGTTACTTGTCATCGTCTGTGGAGATGAAGATGGATACATACCGAGATGGAGGATGGTGGTTGAATGAAGCGGATTAGACATCGAATCTTCATCGGTGCATCAACTCTATTAAACTAAAATCTTACCTTTCCTAATTATGTCATCGTACCACTCATTTCTAAACACCTCATCTTTCTCCATTTCCTCAAGGCTCAGTCCAATCATCCACCGTTACTGACTATTTTCCAAATCAATCATCACTCTTTATCTTTTGCTTCTCATTAATACATACTTTCATTGACTTTTCTAAAATCTCAGCATTTTATCCAGCAAGATAACTTATATCTTACTCAAGACTTATTCAAACTTCAAGGCCTCTCTCGAGACTCGACTTCATCATCTTCACTTTCACTTGCGCTATTTCTTCGGCTTTCGTTAAATTCATTAATTGATTGTATCCCCACTTCCATTTGATATCCCTAATAAGAAAACTTCCTGCACATCCTTTTACTCTTCAAAACTCATATCTCGTCAAATCAAACATACTTTGGTGAATCTAAAGGGTCTATACATTGAGCATCATAGCATAAGCTTCAGCCATAGTACGATTTCTCTACAATCTATAGTACAACATCATCTTCATCGTACTCGTGATGCATCTGACTCATTTGAGATAAAATCTTAACTCTATAAAGGACCTAAGATTCATTCTTATCATCAATCACTTTATCAACCAAATCGAAATTCAAAAAATCTAATCATACTCAATCTTGCTCACGGAGAACTCACAAGTCAAAAGGACTATCAGTTCTCGATACAACAGCACCTTGCCAATCAAAAAACATTGTAATCAATACTAGCTACTCGTCATCTCTGATTCCTGAAACTCCATACACGATTCAAGAACATCGGAAATCGATTTGAAGCTTGCATAATTCCTCTTCTTTCTGATCAACATCAAAGAAAATCTCATATGTAAGTACCTTAAATCCTCGGGTTAGCAAAAAACTCATTCGTGCTAGAAACTTAATTTATCCATCATCCCGATTGTAGATTAACCCGAGGGGCAAGGAAGATTGATAAACGTTTTTTAGAGAAAACTTTGATCATCTTACACACGAAACTTGGTAAATCAATCCTTCAACTTTCTTTACAATCTATCACCTTGTATTTGATTGTTTTGATTGATGTTTCTTAAGCAACTTGACTAAGCTGGAATCCGATTGTTTTGTTGCTGTTCTTCAGATTTTCGTCTCGATTCCAGTTGATATTTTTTTGATTGATACAAGCACTATCTTATTTCTTATAAATTCAAAATTCTAGATCAAATCAACCCAAAATTCGCATCAATGAGTCAAGCTATATCCTTCACCTCTAAGGTTTCATTAACCCCTTATCATTCATTCACAAAACTTTTAAATCAACTTCAAAAATATAACATACAGGAGATTCACACTCCTAATGTCATCTTTCGTTTTTCATTCAAAAATAGGAGTCTAACTTTTCTTTTTGATTTACTTTTTAATCTTTTTCAAACTTTCATTTCGACATTGATTATTTTTATCAAAATATTTCATTATTCAATCATTTCTATATTCTTGATTTTTTTCATTCGAATTCTTAATTTCTTACAAATCATTCCCAGGTTAAATTATCATCATGAACGTAAGTTATATTTCTATCAGTTTAGTTTTTCGTATTTTTTTCTATAACGATTTTTCGTACATTTTGTGATCTTTTGATTCCCGGGGTTTTCTCCTATCCATAATCAAGGAACTTGATATTCTAGAATGATTTTTTAAACTTTGTAGCGCTGTGGTCAAGATTGTTCTTCATTATTGTAACTCCTATATAGAGACTGAATATCTTCTTTTTTTTCTCAAACCGAACCAAGATAAAAAGAAACTAATTCTCATTTTTTCTGCAACTCTTCTTCACATCACATAATCAACCAAACCAAAACGACGATCATTTGGATAATCTTTCGTGAACAGACTCTAATCGAAATGAAATGAAAACATCAAAACAAGCACAACAAATGCAAGAAATTCCGATTTATGCTATGGCTCATGTACCACCATTTCCAAGAAAATCAACTTCAAATCAACTTCAATCATCATTACCACCCAATTTTGTAGAATCAATCAGATTAAATTCAAAAATGAATACCGAAGGAATCATTGATACCCAATTTGAACAGACATATTCTAGATCATCACCATCATTATCATATCCCTCTTCAGCACCATCATCATATACTTCTTCAGCACCATCATCATATACTTCTTCTTCAACAGCAACATCATATTCTTCAACAGATTCATCAGATTCGAATTTAGACATTCCAAGGATCAGAAGAAGAAAAAAGAAACTTTCGAAAATTAGGATGTCTACTAGAAATCGATTTGAAAGGTTTGAAAGCTCATCTGATGGTGATGGTGATGCAGATGTAGAAAAAGATGAAGATGAAGATGAATCTAAAATAATCTCAAAGATTAAACATCGAAAATTAAAGAAAATCAATTCATCAAAATCTTTAAATTATCATTCTCAACTTCGATTTCAACTTCATTCAATTTGGATCTTGATTTGTTTAATCTTTTCAATGACGTTTTTTAAATTCCAATCTACTTAAAAGACTTATAGGTATCTTTTGCTACAAGATGACTTGGTATTTCAAAACATTTGATCATTATTTTTTTACAGTTATTTGTTTCCACAAGATCTAATTTCACTTCAGTTTGATTCAACTTGAATGTTTCTTTTCCTTCAACAAAAATCAATGTCTTTAACTTTTGTTTATTCCCTAATCTCTTCACTCTTAAGACTTAATAAACAAACTAGTCTTCAAAAAGAATTTTCTTTTGTGGTTCCATAACTTTATTTAATTTCCTTGACTCTGAGCATATTCTTTTGTTTAGACATTTTAATTTTTTTCTTTGATACACAAAAAGTAAATCAACTTTCATATTCTTTGTTTTAGCATTTGTATACAAATTATAATAATAAAAATCTTATTCTTCCACAAATCAGTTTCTTTGACTTCTCTTCTATAGAGAATCCTGTTTTATTTGCTTTGTAATTTATATTATACATAGATATCTTTTATATTTATAAATCTAGATGTGATGTAAAATTGAGATGATAAAAAAGTAAATTCTTAAAATGATTGGTTTTTCAATGGCACCGTCCAGAAAAAGTGAACAAAAATTGGTGGTATAGTCTACTAATGAGAGCCATTTGAAGCCCTCGCTCCTGTCTACCAACATTGAGCACACACCACCATTTACTCTCGAGTGTTCTTGGAAAAGCACCCAGTCCCCACCCTTCATTACATACTTCAGGTGTCAATTGTGGGGTGCTGGCGGCGTGCACATATGCATGTCTTTGCTCCCCGTTCGGCCCCGCTGGCGCATCTTTTTGACTTACCCAGCGACCACCGCGGGGCCAGCACTCACTCGATTCAGTGACGGGCGGGTCTTGGTACCGCGGGCAGCGGGAAGCACTGCCCTTTCAACTTTTTTTTCAGAAGTTCAGAATAGCTTTCCTCAGCCTAGAACTTGAAGTACATCAGACGACGGCATTCAAGTCCAATCGTAAAGTAAGTCCCTTTTCACATATTTTCCATCACGGGATTTCATATCTCAACCACGCATTTAAAAGCCTGTTACTTCTGTCAACTTTTCTTAACCGTCTAGATCAGATCTCGAACAAAGAGATTACGAACTATAAAGAGTGATCCAGTTTACCTATATACGACAGTTTAATAGGGATGGAGAGACCGCCTGGAACTCTACAACAACAACAAGCGGCCTTCATCATGACTTCACTGAATCTAGTTGCTCCTAGAGAAGTCTTAAGCTCAGATAATTTCGAAGACTGGACATCTTGCATTAAGATGGGGCTCGAGTCAATATCTTTCCATCAGTACCTTGTATCGGATCCCCTCACAGAGTATCCAGAACGAATCTTTGATGAAGTAGCTAGAAGATCGATTGTCAGATGGTTATTACTCCAAATGGATTGTCTTCACCGATCACGTTACCAAAAGAAGATGACCATTTATACGTCTAAAGGTTCCGAATTGGAAGACCTTCCTGCTAAATTGTGGAAAGCCATTTTTGATGATCATTCAAGACAATCGGAACACTACAGGGCGATTAACCCTGCATTTTTTAGGGTAATATCTTTACTTATAAACTTTGGATATGTTTTATATTTTCAAAGCATGTTGAATTCAAGTTTTCCAAATATTCATTCTACTTGGTTTTTTTGACAGGCGATGTCGTCAAGTTATCTTTCAAGATGAACCAAAATCGTGGAAACTCTGTAACTTTATACATGGACTTCTTATTTCACAACTTCTTGAAATTCAATCTTAAAAATCGACTATGTATACAAAATTAATGAGTTCAGAAGATCAACTTCTCAAGTGTAACCATCTGACTTGAATAAGACTTTTATCTTGTTGCTTTTTGTTACTTGAGAATATGATTCACGTTCACTCGAAGAAGAATATGTAGTTCAGGTTGAGTTAATGTAGATTAAAAAACACTTTACGAAGGCTTGATATTGACATAATTGTCTTTGATGATTCAACTCAAATGAGTTTTTTAACTTTACAAGAGTTATAATGGTTTGATGAGCATATCAACAGGCATACCCTTCAGTGGTGATCTGGTCGATGTCAGGTGCAAGAGTGAGATGACTCAAGAGACTACACCTTTTGTTGCTGAAACTCCAAGAACTTGACCAGAATGCTTACTTGAGGTATGCATCATATAATTGATAGGTCTTCTGTTGCGTTATTAGCAACACTACTGGTCTGACATGGGTGGAGTGAAAAGATCGTATGCACATCCTGAATTGACGTCCTTTATTAACTGAACCATACCATCCAGGCAAGAATTTCCTTATTGCAAAAGACATCCCACATTATCTTCTACAGCAGGCTGGATTTGGTATTCAACTATCATCAACAGAATATTTTTTTAGATTCCATAAGTGGAAGAAGAAGAGCATCAAGTTAAAAGATTGAAGAGAAGTCGAGTCTTGGTTTGATAGCGCATAGGATTCCTTGAGAAGTGGGCGCACAATTGCTATGAAGAGATCAACTTCCAAACATCGTCCAACAGATCCCATCTACTCATGAGTAGAGGAGCTCTGTGAAGATATTTTGAACACGTCTCAAATAACTTACATTGGAACGTAGAGCGGCCGGACTCCGCGTCGAATGATCCTTGAAATTCATCACGAGGGAGAAGCTGCCTGATGTGTTCACGTGCAGACAGCTATAGAGAGCATAGATATGATGGGCCATCATCACACGCAAATGAACCGATCCCTATGATCTTGTAGCTGTTACTAAAGTAGAATGTACAATATCACCTCCACCGCCTTGAATGTTTGTAGAACGAACCGATCACCTCCCGAGCTCGGATTCAACGCGTCCAAATGATCATCCTTGTTCCCACGCGATGTAGATGATCAGGATTTGGACTCTACTCATGAGTAGATAGGATCTGTTGGACGATGTTTAGAAGTTGATGTCTAGCAATTGTGCGTCCACGTCTCAAGGAATTCTATGCGCTATCGAATGGTCTATAAAACCAGAGCCTTTGTCTGACTTTCTCCTACTTTTTCATCACACACTCACAAGTATACAAACACAGAACTCCTCGTTATCAACTTCTTATTCCTATAACTGAAACCTTTCCAATACCACTACAAATCTCGTCAAGTCATTTTCTAAGCCTTTGTGAAATACAAGATGCGTTTCGGTCTCCAATCAATTGCTACCCTCGCTTTTGTGACTCTTATGAGTCCTGTCTTATCAAAGCGTGAGTGATGACTGAGTGGCTATCGAGTAAACCAACCAAAGCTGATCCAGATTCTCTTTATCTAGCCGTTGACTCAGAGGTCGCCCAAAGTAACTTTCTTTGCATCTCTTTCCCCAATCTATCGTGAATCACATCACTGATGTTATGTCCATTTTACAGATGCTCAAGTGGCTAGCAAAGAAATTTCAGAGAAATGGTTCACGAACCATTTCGGTACCGGCAGTCTGTCCTACAATTATTATGCCAATTTGGGCGGTTGCTTTGCAAATGGTCTACAAATCGTCAACTTCAATAATGTGAATTGTGTCTTCAGCGATTATAACACCTGCATTCCTGTCACTGGTGGCTGCCCCGGAGTGGTGTACCCAAACGTGAATGACTACTTGAAATACCTCGTGAATCCCTACCAAACTATCAACGGTTGGAGAATCTACCGCGGTCCTGGTTCTTTAGGTTTTTACCAAGGGTACAATACTTTTGGTGTATTCCCTTGGTCCAGCGTAGGAAGCTTCAGCAACTATATCACCACTGTTCGACAACCGTTTTGGTGAAAAATAAGCCATTAATGGCTATGGTACGTCTATCAAATCTCATCTTTGACCTTGTCTCGCTCGACTGATTATTCTGCTTTTCTCCAACATACAGTCCTCCCTTTAAATATAGTTTATCTTATCTTGATTTTTGTTTTCTCATTATCTAGGTTGTGTGTGTTATTGTGTTGCTTTCCATATGTTCATTAAAATTTTCAATTGTGAATAAATTGCTTGGCTTAAGTTTTTGTGACTGTGAACAAATCAAATCCTATGTCCTCGTCTCTCTGTTGAAGTCACCATTTGGCTGCGCGGCATGGTGCGACTTCCTGCCAACTTTGCAGTATCAATTGAGTATGCATTGAAAAGTGTAAGGGCAATGGGCTTCTGAGTCGTCTTAGATGGAAAGACTAACAACAAAACCCTGTCATAATTGGTGGTGCTTATGAACTCAGTCTAATTTTTCTGCTTCGAATCTTCAATACTTGCCTCTCGGCGCCGCTTCTTACTACTTGTTGTGGCAGTCATTGATCTCCGAGTTGAAGTTTGTCTTTATAGCATATATTGGAGTGTGCGTCTCCAGCATTGGGAGATCCGCAAGTTCAAATGTGTGATATTCTCGCACATTGAATGGCCATGATGTACCTTGTGAGTCTTTGTTGTCTAGCTTCATGCACTGGCTGACATCACGGTAGGAAGTCTCTAATTGCTGTGATCTTATGTACGCATCTTGCTGTGATATGAGGTCATATGGTATCATATATGATTACCTCATCACAGAATTGATTTCATGTTGTATGGTGGTTATGAGGACTTTTTTGGACTGAAAACTCTTTCAACTCACGCAAACTTTACGATAAAACACTCCCACCATAGTGGGTGCTCTAACTCATTCACCCGGTTCTCTCGCAGGGCCTACAGCTCGTCCTAACGCTAAAATACCAACAGGTCCACTATGGACCTGTTTTAGACCTGCGGTCCGTACGGCTGCGTCAAGTCTTGCACTTCGAGAAACTTGCAACTTTCGAGACCTGGGACAAGTTCCGACTCACACATCCTCATGCGACCACATCATGAATATCGTGATGAATCTTACCCCGCTCGGGAATGACTGTGGAGACTGTGCATGCGATTTGGGATCTTCATACCAGAGGTTTTCAATGGCATTGAGCAGATATTTACATCATCGAATCTGACATATGCTGCGCTCAAAGAGGAAGGTCCACGGATGAGCCATGTTTCATTGGCTCCTGGCTATGTGCAATATGCATGACCCAATCCAAAGGTGTGAACGGTGAATCTGATTGAGGATCTGAACCCTGAATGGGTTTCATTTGAGCTTGCACCTGGGCCGGTCGAACATCCCAATAATGGTACTTGGTGGGAAAAACCTGTTGACTCAAGAATTAATGCACTAGTGCTATTTGCATACTAGGTAGTGGAAATATTTGTCGATCGTTCGTTTTCTCGCAGTTGGGTCTCTTCGAAGTTCGGTTGCCACTCAGTGTCTTCGTCTACTTATCAACTTCTCTTTACCTCGGCTGGCCGTTGACCCGATTCCGTGACCTCGCAAGCCAAGGCCAACTCATCCAATACCCGTCACTCATTTTCAATTTATATAGGGTGATGGGATTTTTAACAGCCGTTGGTCTTGCAAGTCTGATTCCTCGTTACACAGCTCGTCGTCTCTTCAAAAGGTCCAAGAATCGAGCGAACACAAATCAAAAGGACGAACCATGTCACCCTCGTCGCAAGTCCCATCGTTGGGCCCCTCTCTTTGCTGGACTCACCTCCCCCTTCTCTATACTTCTTGAAATACCGGCTCTCACCGAACATTTTTATAAAGGGTCAGTTTGCCTTCTTCAGCATCATCCGGTCTTCAAGTGTCTTGAAAGCCCATTTCTGAACCGATTTCAATCTTCAGGCCTGATCAAGGGGTCTTCACGCCGGACATCTTGCCCTCGACCTTTTTGGTTACTGCACTCGTGCTGTCATTAATCTCGGTACGGGATGAATCTTTGCCTTCATTACAAGCAGCCGTGTACGCTCAGTGGTATGGCACCTGACACTTCTTGGACTCACCAGGGATTTGTGGCCAACTTGGCATTGATAACTCGATACTTTGAACATCGGCCGCAAATAAGCACCTTGACAGCCATTGGGTCCTTGACAATTCATGACTTGATCAATCTGTCAATTCTCATCGTCTCTCCTATTCAATTAGGGTTAGCCTTTCAATGAGCATGATATCAGTTTGTTGAAACAAAGAAGATCGCGAATACTGATGATGCGTTTGAATCACTTAGAACAGTTAGAAGTGATCAAAGGTATGCATTCCATCGATTGGCTTTTGTGTCAATCGTTGATCAATGATTCCACACTTATCTCTGACTTTCATTTTTATGTGCGCCACCAGCTTGGGCTATGGGTATTGGCTGCTTGTTGCCAGGTTTGCACATATCTTTACCATAGGAGCATCACCTTCATATTGATACCTTCCTTTCTCTGAAACTTTATTTCTGGTGCAGTTCGATTATTTCGGTAAGCTGTAACACTGCCCTAATTTATGATTACTGTTTAGTGGATAATTTCAGAGCAAAAGGTGTGTACATTTGTGATTTCCTGATTTCCTGCAGAACCTAACTTTGGTTTTATAGGTTCTGGCCTGACAAACAAACAACGCTCATTGGTCATTGCATGTATGGCGCTGGTGATGTATATCGGCTTTGGAGCCTTGATCTTCATCTTTCTCACAGAAGATAACATCAAGTTCATCGATGCGTTGTACTTTTGCGTCTGTACGGTGTCAGTTGGATCTATATATATATCATGTTCTCAATTTTTGAGCACCATCCGACGGACAAGAAGATGAATGTTGACATTATTTTATAATATTTACTTCAAGTACAACTGTTGGATTTGGAGATGTGATTCCCACCAACACTGGCTCCCGAATCTTTGTCTTTTTCTTCGCTATCTTTGGGATCATCACTTTGGGTCTCACTATCAATACTGCTCGGGAAACCATCATAGAAGGATTCGAGAGCTTGTGGCAAACTCGACGTAATGCGATCTTTGAATTTGCTCGTGAATACCGAACGGCCCGCAAAGCTGCTAAGAAGAGGTCATCCGGTGTCACAACAGGGCTATCAGTCGCATTGATGATGTCTGCTTCAGTCTCTGGAAGGAACTCATGTTTATCTGGAGCTCACTCACATAATCCACCGCCGTCGAACCGACCCCTATTCAGCGAAGCAGATAGGAAAAATTATCTACTAGCACATCGATTGGACACGGAAAACACGACGTCCACTTCCTCAATGGAAAATGTTGATAATTTCAAATCATTCAGTGAAAGACTGCTCAAACAAGAGCGAAGGGAGTTTCAGACCAAGCTAGTGGTGGCGGCGGTTCTTTTCTCGTGTTTTTGGCTCATAGGTAGCTTCGTATGTCAGTGAGGGATCTATTAGTCTTCGATCAGACTCATGATTATATTCTCTCCCGGCTATGAGACTGACAATGAATGATTTGTCCTTCTGATCACTTAGTCAAGGTAACAGAAGGTACACACTCTATATTTACTAGAAGTCTCTCAAACAATTGACACTTCTCTCTTCCCATCGAAACAGGTTGGAATTACGGCCAGGCGCTTTACTTCTGCTACGTGGCATTCTTGACGTTGGGTAAGCCCTTCTTTGCCATGGTTTTGAGTGCTTTAAATTGTGTTGAAAGAAGACTCGCAGGTTATGGTGATATCACAGTCAAAACGCCTGCTGGTCGATGCTTTTTTATTGCTTGGTCTCTGATGGGGATCGCTAGCATGACTCTTCTCCTCTCTGGTCAGTCCTGACGCGATTATTCTCAATAAGAAATCATGCGGATCTTGCTGATATATGAAATCCAACAATTTAGTTTTGGCGGAAGGCTGGGAAGCCAAGTATAAGCGAATAATTAACAAGAAACGAAGACTTAACTCTCATAATTTCAGATTAATCAGAACCAAAGTCACAAGTCAAGAAGATTTAGAAAACGGACCAAATCAGATGCAAACAGTCCCACTAGTCCCACCGATACCCGTTGTACTTGATTCTAGCCCAGAGGATCTTCCTCAGCGTTTGATTGATACAGCCCGGGGATTTTTCTCTCATGCCCAGTTTTGGATGGAAGGTAAAACGGGAAACCCACCACCTGCCCTATCAGAATTAATGGAGCAAGTGGGAGCGATTGATGGCATTGAGAAATTTCGAGATAAAGGGGGTTTAGCAGAAAGAATGATGTCCGAAGATCGTCAAAAGATGCTCTTCTTGATGTCCTTTGCGCGTGAGTATTATTCCCCAAAGCCCTCTGGAATGTGAAGAATCCTCAGATATTTATGTGTGAAAGTGGTTCATTTTGTGCATCTGCACTTTCAGGGTCGTTGGAGGTGTTAATCAACACGGCTGAAGAGACTGCGGAAGCTATGAGGGTGAAGATCGGAGAAGTCGATGGAGTGATGAGGCCACTCAGTCCCAACTCCTCAAACGCACACTCGAATTCTCACCCAGAACACAACACTTCATCACTTACATTTGTAGAGCCATATGAGGTAGGCGCCTCGCAAGTCGGTAGTTTGATTGGTGTGGAAGAAAGGCTTGAAGTTATCCGAGAAGACGACGAAGGTGTGGAAAGACCCATTGATGAGAAAGTCAATCGTCACTCTGCCAATAAATCTCGAAACATTTCTGAGAATCAAGATCGCACTGCAAACATCCAACCTGACAGGTGTCAGACCAGAGGTAAATCCACAAATCCGAATATGTGAATGCTCAAGCTAACCGAGATGTATTGTCGTTGTAGCAGAATACAATCGAGGCAAAGTACCGGATCTCCTACATCGTCCTTACTCGATTGACGATTTAATCCTACAAACGGCTCCCCGTCTTCTCAACCTCCGACCCTACAAGCCAGAGTCTAGTGTGCTCGAGTATCAAGTTCCAGACCCCAGCTCTGAATTGCGCCATTCGAATATTCTATTGGAAGGTACCTCTGTTAACCCTCCTACCACGCCATCTCGTCTTCAATCTACCCTGACAGACACGGAACCTGAAAGCTTTGATATGTGCCGTCTTTAATTTACATCCCATTCGCATCTTTTTTGACTTTGTATGAAGATCTTCTTTTGTATTGAAGCCGTAACCTTTTTGACCTTGTATCTTTGTTGTACCGAATTTGCGCATACAATAATTATTCATAATTTCACGATTCTCATCACTTTAAGAATTCTTGTAATACTTTTGTATAAATATTCGGATCAAGTGATTGACCAACTTCGTCCACTTCTTCATCTTTCATACAATTGTATATTTATTTACATACTCCAATTGACATATCTTACGAACTGATCATGATTTTAATGCAATATAAACATGGACACCACTTATCCTTGTTGAATTGACAACGCGAGAGCGATCACGAGACGATCGCAACAGGCAACAAAGGACTGCACATCATCAGCATGAGCTGAGATCACGAATGAAATCCCGGGCATAAAATCTGCGGCCATCTTATTTTCTCATTGGCCCTTATGACTTGGATGCGATCATGGATTGGAGCAAGCTTTTGAAATCATTTGATCAGTCCCAAGACTCCATCCAACTTGTGTATAAGCGCATTCGCACTATTCGAAAAAAAGTATTTCAGCCGCTCGAATGGATGATATATAGCGACTCCACAGTCATGCTCATAACTCAATGTCCTCAATGGCAAAGAAAATCAAAACACCCAACAGGTTTGAGTAAAGGTATTTCTTCAAACTTAAGGAACTTCCTTGCTCCTCGTCAAGTTTGGTATTCTTTCATACTCACTTGTCCTCCACGAGAGAAGAAACATGAATCCATTCTGAATACTATACACTCAGTCTGTACCTCTGTGTCTGCTATGCTACATCATCCAGCACGGAAACTAAAGCAGGAAGATTGTGCAAGGACCAGATTCAGGGACACTCACACGAGACGTTGCTACTGCAGAGGTAAGTTTTTTTTTTGGCAGATAGATTCCGTAATTTAGATGTTCCTGTGCCTGAACCTGAAATGTGATGAATTGACAAAATCATAAGAAAGTTAACCTTCAGATTGGTATATAGAGCGCTTCAAAGAACTACGATTGCAAAGCTTTTTTAACTCTTCACCCAATTTAAATCCAATTCCTATCCTTCCCCATCATAATTTAAAGTAGACCTCAAAGCTAAAATAAAATGTCTCCTACATCTACAAACGCAGTCAGCAACCAAGGCTCTCCTACCCATCCAGCTCTCGAAGTGTCTCAGTCAAATGAGTTGGAACACGGCTTTACAAATGAAGACGGTAGTTCGATCTCGAGTGGTTCTGCTCACGCCGACGGGTGAGTAGAAGTTATCCTAAGAAAATTCTACTGCAGCTAATATGTATGGTTTGCCGAGCCTTAGATCTTCACCAGCAGAAGCCGAATCACGACTACATCTAGATCAAATTGACGAGACTGAAGACTCTTACGAATCAGTGATGAGCAGAATCAATAATTGGCGAGAGACGACTAGTTCAGATATAGAAGTACCTTTTGATATTGTAGAAGAAACTCCGATACCCGAAGTGATTGAAGAACAAAGAGAAGAATCAACTGCAGAGATTGAATTAAGACAAAAACTAGCTTTACTTCAATCACTTTTGAATGAACAAAATGAAGAAAATGATTCATTAGATGATAGTGATGATGAGCAGTTTGATAAGAAAGAAGACAAGTTTCAATTTCTCATGGGTCAATCTGATTTTAAGGATCTTCTCTTTCTTCAAATCTTAAATCAATGTTCACCTTTTTCTTCGAATGACGGGGTTTCTAAAGCTTTTGGGAAATGTGCACATCTTCTCAGAGTAAGTCTTTCGGTTTTCTTTCATGTTTACTTCGACTTTTCATTTCCTGATTTTTTTTCTCTTGGTTTTGATTAGACTAGTGAAGCCACAAAGGAGTACTTTGGCAATCTTGGAATTAATTCAGGAAAAAGGTTGTTGAGGGAACGTTATCTCCTTTTAAAGTCTTGGATCACTACCAAAGGCTTCTGCAATGTCATCAATTCTTCATCTCAAGACCATGAAGAAGAGATTCGTGAGCTGATGCAAGAGCTGATTGAGGAGGAAATCGCATACGTCAGTCTGGTTTTACCTCATTCATTATTATATCGTTCCAAATTCACTGATGAGTAAATCATTTTTTCTATCCAGACAACTCACAAACAATCAAGAGACATCGACCAACCTAGTTTACTTTCTGGTTCGAGTTATGGTTCAGTTTCAAGCTGTGAAAGTTCATTTGAAAGTGAGAGTTGTGTTTGATTCCTTTAAAATGTAATACTTTATCATATTACTTGTTTAGTTTACAATTCCTTTGTCTTATTGTTTGATGGATCTGGTTACTGTTTTAAAAATTTGTATAGGAGTCATTTGATACTTTTTTTCCCTTTTTATGAAAGTCTTGAGCAAAATTTTCCCTGCTCATCTTTTCAAATCACATGGGCACATTCACAAAGCTATTGACCGCATGGATTGGTCATGGCAACGCTGGGCCTGCAGCGGCGCGGCGCGTAGCCGGCAGAACTATTTTTTATCCGCTGTGTTGCTGGTCCGCGTATACACAAGCTGTGCTTTTGGCAAAGCCAAACAAATGAACCTATTAATCAAAGAGGTAGTTTTTGGCTAACTCCAGTTACGTAAAGCTCTCGTGCATCACCATGGTCATTCTCTCAAGCTGGGTATTTGGGAGCACAAGGGCAAATGGCTTGCTGAGCCATTGGTGAATATCTTTGTAAAACAAGGCCTTCTGAATAATATAGGTGGTTGATTTTTTTTTTGCTTTTCTGTTGTTCTATTATCATGTTTTGCTTGAATTTCAGCTTCAGGCTGAATTTGATGTTCCTCATGCATCTTCTCTTCCAGACAACTGATTCAGGCTTGAACAACAAGACAAAGGAAAACAAAATGCATGGGCAATTTCTTTTGCAGCCCAACCAATCCGACTACACCTGGGAACCCAATTGCATGCACATATCTTGCTTTTTTCACAATATGGTGCTGATTGTGGGGTCCAGCCTGGTTTCAATTGGGCCCAAGACTCTGCCCCCAAGGAAGATCCAGAATGCAATGTGTGTTACCTTCCCTGACTTCAACCTGACCATCATCAAACAAGAGGAGGAGCCTGAGGATACATTCTCTCTTGCTGAAATTCCCAAAAAGAATATGATTGGGATTCTGCTGATGCAGCAGATGAAACTGACCCTACTCTTTTAGCTGATGGTGATTCATCTGAGGCTCAACCCACTCATTGACTTGTGTCAAACACGCCGGATGCTCTTATGGACAAGGGAAGGTACAACTGTTTTCATATCCTTTTCTAATATCCTTTTCATAATATATTGTATTGCATTCCCACTAGTGTTTTGTGTTTTGTTTGTTGACCAACTTCTAAAGGTTGATCTTGCCTGAGTGCATGTTAAAAGTTGTTGTCCTTGCAAAAATGGAATAACACATGTATAATTCCAGAAGTTAACAATTACCCCATCATGTTGGGCTCCAGTAAGGAATCATAATGCAGACATGAAGATTAACTTTAAGTATTTTATTGACTAATTTAAACTGATGGTCAAACTCATCTCTTTTGCGCTAGATTTTTCTGGATGCAATCAAACAGATGGAGTACAGGAGAGCCACAGGCTCATGAATGGCTATACCTGAGTATGTCAAATTGCACAAGACATTGCAAGATTGAGTGGATACCCTTGAATTTTCCAAGACTCTTTAACCAATGCTGACAACCATGCTGGAAGAAACTCAGACCTATTTGGAAAAAGCTCTGTGTTGCTATATCACATCCTACATTTTGAATTTGGTTTTCACTCTTTTTTTTGGAAGATTTCCTCTCAAGCAAGCAGCAAAAAGGAAGGGGAAGACATGGGTGATGAAAACCAGCTCACCAACTATCTGAATGGTTGTGATACAATGAAAGACAGTTAGTATGACTTGAGCAACCCAAACTCTGCACTGCAGTGGTGGGCAGTAAGTACCTATCTAACCTCCTAACCTGAATATGAGTGATTTGGTGTGGATTGTACCTCATTCCCTAACCTGTCTGGCCGCAGGCCAAATTTGACTTCCCTATTCTGGACACCATCTGCTTGTTTTTCATCTGGTTCTTTAATGCATAAACAAGGGAGATAGCGATGTGATGATGAAGACTTCTTTGGAGTCATCCAATAGCATCAGAGCGGCAATGGTTATCAGTTCAAAGTGCAGACAGGCATATAAACCAACATAAGAGGGGGGTTGAGCAGTTGAAAAGTTTAAGAGGCCAGACAAGACACGGGCACTTGCTTGAGAAATTTCTTCTTGGCCAACACGAGGCATGAGGTAAATAAGAGATGCCAATGGAAAGTATGTAAGGATCCTCAAAGCTATATATTTTCCAAATATACTTTTTTACCCACTAAAAAACAAAAAAGTATGTAAGAAAACTACGTATCATCACATGAGGTATCCTCGAGTCAATGAGAAGACATGAAGCATGAAATTCTGAGTCAATACCAAGGGATTGATGTACAAAGATAGGACCACCACCATGAACCTTACAAAATGTAAGGATATGAGGAGAAGGTACTAAAGGTATGCCAGTAGAAGGTAAAGAGACCGTCCCCATGTTTGTAACTCATCTCTGAGATACAACGTAAAACTATGGAGTTGGATCATACTCCGCTTGACCAAGTTCCGCATCATTCAGGAGGTAAGGCAATTCGGTCTCAAAGGTGTCTATGAGTTTTTTTTACCAGAGATTTGAACAACCATCAATTATATTTCCATTTCCACTTTCTATAAATCTATGAATTGGTATCTATAAATCTATCATATCAGGTAACCATTCAGAAAAGACAATCATCCCCTAAAGTTCTTATACTGATCAATCATCTCTCGTTGTACATTAGGTAATACAGGCGAATGTTTTAAATATTCCATACTGAACTCTCCTTTACCCTGAGTCATTCCTCTCAATTGAGATGCATCTACAGAACATCAGAAACACAAGAATATTAGCACAAAACACAAGAAATTCTCAAAACGCAAGACAAAGACAAGGTAAAAAACACTCACATCCAAACATATCATTCAAAGATACTTCAGCAATCAAAACCACTTCATCCACTCCAACATCTGTATCTACAATCGTACCTCTCCTCTGATTCAAACCACCAATCACATTACCTTGATATTCAATAGGAGCAGTTACTTCAACTTTCATAATCGGTTCTAAAATCACTGGATTGGCAGCTTTAAAAGCTTCCCTGAATGCTCCTTGCGCTGCTAATCTGAAAGCTAATTCAGATGAATCTACAATATGATGGGCACCATCTTCGAGAATGAAATGACATCCTGTTACTGAATTACCCGTTAATACTCCTCTTTGTAATGCGTCTCTGAAACCCTGTGAGCAACGAGATCGTCAATTTTGGTTTCAATAGTGTTCATCAAAAAAGCGAAAACTAACTTTTTCAACAGCTGGTATAAAGGAAGCAGGAATCGTACCACCTGTAATCCTACTCTCATAGCATGTGTCCTCACCTGTTTCCTCATCACGTTCCATTGGTAAGATTCTTCCAACGACCTTTGCATACTGACCAGCACCTCCAGTCTGTTTCTTATGAACATAATTGAAAGCGCTTTCAGTGGTGATAGCTTCCTTGAATGCTACTCTTGGTTTTCCTGTTACTACTTCCACACCATATTCACGTTTCATTCGTTCTACGTAGATATCTAAATGAAGCTCTCCCATTCCACTGATGATCGTCTCAGATGACTCTGCATCAACATGGACTCGAAACGTAGGATCTTCCTTCTGAAATCTTTGGAGAGCTTTTGAGAAATGTGGGGTTTCTTGGCCTTTTGGTCTGATAGAAAGAGATATCACTGGATCGGGAACAAACATCGAAGTCTATCGAAGGATCGAATATTGCTCAGTGAATAAATCCGAAAAGCAATAGATGCAAATTAAATGATAGACATATAAGTTTCAAAACTGACCATTGAAAGCTGAACCGTTCCATCTGTGAATGTATCTCCAGATGAACATTCCACACCAAACATCGCACAGATTTCACCTGCCTTAATCTCATTCACATCTTCCATTTCATCACTATGCATTCTAACCAATCGAGGAACCTTGACTCTTTTTCCAGTCCTTACATTCGTGATCTGATTCCCTCGTTTCAATGTACCTTGATAGACTCTTAAATAAGTTAGTTGACCAAATCGACCTTCTTCAAGTTTGAATGCCAATCCAACCAATGGTGCAGTCGCAGTCGGACTGATTTCCACTGAAGGTGGATCAGTAGTACTAGTAGAAACATCTAATGCAACAGAGGCCACTTCGGAAGGATTAGGTAAATAACTACATATTCCATCTAATAACGGTTGAACACCCTTATTAGCTAAAGCGCTACCCATAAAGACAGGTGTGAATTTTAACGAAATAGTAGCCCTTCTGATTGCAGCAGCTAATTCCCCAGAACTAATCGGTTTCTCTTCTAAGAATAAATCGGCCAATTGATCATCACAATCTGCCACAATCTCGATTAACTCTTGACGTTTGGCTTTCACTTCGTTTGAAATTGATTCTGGGATTTCATCTGATTCAACAATCGTGACACCTTTCTCTCCAGTTTGTCGAATTGTCTTGAGTCTTACTAAATCAACTACTCCTTCGTATCCATCTTCAGCTCCGATTGGGTATTGAACTTGAGCACAAGTTAATTTTAATTTAGTACGTAGATGACCGATTACTCTAGCAGGATTGGCACCTTGACGATCCATTTTATTAATAAAACATACTCTAGGAACATTATAACGTCTCATTTGACGATCTACAGTAATAGTTTGACTTTGAACACCTGAAACTGCACAAAGTACAAGTACAGCCCCATCTAGAACTCGAAGTGCACGTTCTACTTCGATAGTGAAATCAACATGTCCAGGCGTATCGATGATATTGATAGAATGTGATTCACCTGCCGATAAATCTGGATTTTGTTCTACTTGCCAATCACAAAATGTAGCAGCAGATTGAATAGTGATGCCTTTTTCTCTTTCTAATTCCATATGATCCATCTTGGCTCCAACTTGATCTCTACCTCTTACTTCATGTATAGATTTAATTCTTCCAGTATAATATAAAACTCTTTCTGTAAGTGTTGTTTTTCCTGAATCGATATGAGCTGAAATACCAACATTACGTTGAGTTCTAAGTCTAAGATGATCCTCCGGTGTCAATTGATAAGTTTTTGATGATGGATTTTTTGATTTGTCTGTTGAACTTGTTGTAGAAGAAGCCCATCGTGTTTGATTTGAAAGAAATTGATTTGATTTGGTGAGAGTTGAAGTTGATGATGAAGTTGATTGGTATTGTTGAGTTGAGCTTTGAATGAATTTGAATGATGAATTCCTTTGTATCCTGTTTACTCCATTGATCCAATTTGTTGTAAGCTTTGATGTTCCTCTGAGTCTGATTGAAGTATAGTTCATTCTTCTTTCTCTTAGTTCTTCCTTTTGGTCTAATTTCTTTCGGGTGTTCTCGGCGTCGTCTCAGCAAAAAAAAGGTTTTCAATCGATCAATCAAAATTATGGACGATGTATGCGGTACCACTCTACAAGGATATTCTGGTACCGACTCCTTATATCCTTTCGAGTATACCCGTCAGTACTTGACAAAACTCTTGGCGGGAATTGCAAATTCGGTTCGGAGTAAGCTCAATTTTTTCGAATTCCCTCAATTTTTGTTCCAAGACCAATTCACACTTTTCTCTCCATTAACCTTCAATCAACATACCTTCAATCAACATGGTCTCCTACTGTCAGTCTAAGTTGCCTACATGATTTCAACCCTAAGGAAGTATGAACTGAACCAATTCTGTCTTTCCAACACTCGTTTCATAGACGACGAGATTGAGATAGAAGATTTCAGTTGGGATCCCGTTGCAAAAGTCTACCATACCCCATGTCCTTGCGGAGATCGATTTGAGATATCCAGAAGTCAACTCGCAAAAGGAGACGAAATTGCTACTTGTCCGAGCTGTAGTTTAATCGTTCGAGTAGTCTATGACTTTGTGAGTTGAAAGTGTTCTTCATCGCCTTCTTTCATCATTGAAACTGACGTTGACTTTGGCCTTGGAAAGTTGGACTTTGAGGAATATTTGGATGATGAAAGTAGTCAAGGGGATTCAGTTGAAAACGAATCGAACTCGGTTGAGGAGGCTCTGGCTGAGTTGAAGATTTGAGATTCGATTCCGAGTGCGGTGATACAGACTCGACTTTGTCTCTCAGTCTTTCCATCTTGTAAACTTGAAGGTCGAAAACACAAGATCAAGGTAGAACGAAAAAGGAACCCGACCCATGGCCAGTAAATCAACAATTCAAACATACCGTCGAGGTTAGTCAAAACAAGGCATGCACTCTGATCAACGTCGGGATCTTAACAACGACCTCCGGTCACCCGGAATACCCTTATTGACTCTCATAAGGACGATGATAAAGTCAAAGATGTCACCACCGAGTCATGCCGAGCCAGTGATCTTGCTGCTTCCCCGGGATTGTAGCTTAACACAATCATAACATGCCCCTCAACACAATCAAATTGATGATCAAGACAAACTCTTGTTAGACAACTTTGACTAAACCATCAAGAACTACATCAAAATCGTTCTCTTTGTCATTTTAATATGCCATCTACTATATTCCTGTTATAATTTTCTTTCGGTGTCCATTTGACTCTTTGAATCCTTATCCATATCAACAGTCTGACATCATAATTCAATCCACAAGACCTCTCATGCATGTGGCATATCCAACTTGCAGATAATAGGGGGTTTCAAGTTTGATTATATTTTATGTATTTTCAAAAATGTTTGTTCATCAAAATATTTTTTGTAAAACAGACATTCCTTCAATACAGCTGTTTCAACAAAGATTGATTTTTTTTGAAAATCTCGCCAATGTGCAAAACCTGGGTTTTGTCCCTCACTTGATTTTGTCTCTGCTAATTGGCAGAATACAGAAAAGAATAAACCTGCAATCAAGTCTTGTCTCTGGTTTTACCCGCTGTGGTGACAACTTTCTCCAAAAAAAAGTTGTCAACCTTTCTTGAAATGGCTGTAATTTGGGACACCTTGTTAGGTGTCCCTGCTTCAAAAAATTTATGCATATTTTACAACAAAACAATGGGCAAGTTGTTGGAGTAAAAAAGTGTGAAAACCCCAAACTTGAAACCCCCTGATACTAATTCAAATTGGTCTGTGAGGGGTGGTGTCATGCTAATGTCATCTCTTTTGAGCTGATACAGTTTGTAGTCATGGTATTTTATCCCTTTTTTGCTTCCCTGCACAACAGAAAAGCTGAGTGAAGTATCATAGGTTTGATCTTCTGAGAGGCACTGTTTTGCCACCACTTCCACAGCCATTTAGGCAGTATCATCTTGGAAAATGGTGTCTCTATATACCAGGTCCAACAGGGAACAAGCTAGAGTTTGGTGATTTTTTTGTTACTTCACCAACTTCTCTTCTGGGTGTTTAGATGTAGGACCCCAAGGCACTGGGAATAGCTTGGTGCCTCTGGAGCACTGTTTGAAGTGCCCAAAGGACATGAAGAACCAACTGTTTGGTGGCTTTGTTCAACTGAAAAAATTGAGTAGAGTTCACAAAGGGTTTGAGCAACGGTGGCACGGCTAAGCTAAGTTAGCGCTTAGCGGTGCATTAGCTTAGTGATTTTTTGTCGCTAAGCTAGCGCTAAATCCTTAGTGCACTCAAGCTAAGCTAATCGAATTTCGAATTTCCTTTAGCGGGTCTGCGCTAAGCTAAGCCGGGAGCTTAGCTATCAAAAAAATACATGTTTTAAGTGCAAAAAAGGGCCGCTAAGCCGCTATTAGCGGTTTAGCGGCCAATCAATTGGCTTAGCGGGTGTCATTTTACGCCCGCTAAGCTAATGGCTTAGCGTTAGCGGAAATCCGCTAAGATTAGCGTTAGCGGATTTTTCCTTAGCGGCCTCTAGCTAAGCTAAGCCAAGGTGGCAAAAATCCTTAGCTTAGCTTAGCGAGCCACCGTTGGTTTGAGGATAGGCATCATGCACTCAATGGTTGCCCAGTTGACTTTGAGACCACAAGTTTAGCTTGCTTTGGGTTGGTGTTGTGCAACTCAAGAGACTTCTTGAGCTCAAGTGACCATTTAACCTTGAAATTCAAAAAAGTGGGTAAAAAAATCAACCTACTACATAGTAGAAATAGTTCCAGCAAGTGGTTGGACAGCTGAGAGGGAGGAGCTTGGGATTTTTCACACTATCTTGAAGATTGATAAAGGCCACAAGCTCCTGAGAAGACTTGTGGATGTGCATATCCAACACTCAAATCTGGCTCACCACTGTAAGCTTCTTGTGGTGTTTGGGCATGTTCACAGTTGATGATGCCTGAGTCTCTTGAGTTTCTTGAGGAATATTACCAAGAAGCTCTAAAGTACTGATTGTGTTTGTAGGTTTCTTGACCAGGTCCGTGGGCATCCATTGATGTCTCTTCGCAGTTAGCATCAGCTGCTTTGGTATCAGTCAAAGTGGTTTCATAGTGAGGCTCATTGTCAATCCAGGGGAGCTCATCCAGTTCAAAGGACAATTGAGTTTTGGCCAGGCCTTAGGTTTAGAACACCACAACATCAGCTCCAATAAGCTCTCCCATTCCACCAAGGAAACCCTTGGCCACCAGACTTATTGTGTCACATGCAGCTATGGAATTGGGGATCAGCTGGCCAGTGAATGCCCTTGCTTGTGTATTGTTCCAACAAGATTTGGGACATGGCTCAGTTGGAGGAAGTTTCATCAGCAGTGATGGAGAAGTGATCTTGAACACCAACATGTTTAAGAGTGTCCCAAACACTTTGGCAAGATTATCTGCTGTATGTTTGCCTCCAAGATCCAGTTTCTTGGAAATCAACCCCAACAAAGACAATCAGGAACAAAAGTCAATTGAATATCTTACACTGGATCATCAATGAGACATATGCTTACCTGGAGAGTAAAACTGTTTGGAAACAGCCAAACAGGAGAAAAAAAATGAAAGAAAATAATTCATTGCCAAAAGGATTGGCAATTATATGACTCAATTCAAACCAAAAATGGAACACCAAAATGACCTCACCTAAAAAATCTGCAAAAGGAAGAATAAAACAAAGTGAATAACAATTCAATTTAAAAAAACAATCAAGAGAAATATCAAATTTTGAGAATATTTAGAAAGCCAACCTAGAACAGTGCATTGATTGCAATGTACATGTGCAAATAATCAGGACTTGTCCAGCAGTTAGTGGATGTTGATATGGGACCTGGCACTCAAGATGGGTCTTTGATTAGTTCTTGTTGCAGATCTTGAAACAAATCCTCTGAATTTGCCTTGAAACCCACAAGGCCTAGCCAATAGAGTGAGGGGCAGATATCTTGTAAAGCATTCTGCATAAATTTCCCTTTGAATATTGAAAGTGGAAGGTTCTTGCTAATGATGGCCCCAATGTGCAATGTACAAGCAGACACAAAAAGTTTACGTCACCCCCTGGCCCCGACTAGGTTACTAGCCAGACAAGTGTACTGTCTCAATTTGACTTTGAAGGCAAAGGCACCATCAGATCTAGTTGATAGCTCTCATTTCATGTTCTTTACATGGTTGACCTCTCTCAGGAATCAGCATTGTAATGAAGATTAGTAGAAAACATGCTACAATTATACTACACAAAGTTGATTCTGGAACTTTTCCACAAAATTTCCAGAACATTTTTCAGAAATCCAGAATGCTTCTGCACCCTGGGCAAAAGGGCATTCAAACATGTACTGCTTTTCACAAGTCCAGGAGTCCAGAACACAGTCAAATCTGTGTTCTGGGGCAGTTCTGGAAAATTTGTGGAAAAGTTCCAGAATCAACTTTGTGTAGGACAAATTATACACATCCAACGAGAAAAAGGATCAATCACAATTTTGATACACCCAATCTCAGTCAGGCAAGTTTCAAATGTCTGGTGACAAACAAAGATGATGTAATAAGATATCAGCTAGCAAGCCACTAAGAACTAACAAAGACTAAAGATGTGTGTTGAGAATCAAAAAGGCTCTAAGTAGATATTGGACGTGTAAGAATACACACAACAAGGAAAAGTTGTTGATGAGAAATTTGAGTATGCTCGATCTCAGTCAATTGAGAAAGAGGTCATGATAGTAAACTAAGCTAGCCAGACAATAAGCACTAAAGATGTGATGTGTTTCAAATCCGAGAGAACCTAGGTAGATTTTGGATGTGTAAGTATGAGGTGAAGAACAAGCAGATTGAATACAACAAGGAAAAGTTGTTAATGGGAAATTTGAGTATGCTCAATCTTGGTCGATTGAGCAAGAGGTCATGATATTAAACTAAGCTAGCCAGACACTAATAACTAATTGATGTGTTTCAAATCCGAGAGAACCTAGGTAGATTTGGGATGTGTAAGTATGAGGTGAAGAACAATCAGTTTGAATTGAAATCACATACAAGTTGAGTCTTTCACCATCGAGTATGACCACCATCTGCCTGAAGCACAGCCTGGATGCGGTCAGGCATTTCTTCAACAAGCAAGCAAAGAATTTCATCTCCGATATTTTCCCACTCTTTTTGTAAAGCAATATGTATCTGTGCTGCTGTTTTGATTTTATGATTCTTTGAGATAGATTTCTTCATGAGACGCCAGACATTTTTGATCGGATTCATATCAGGACTGTTTGCTGGCCATTTGATTTTGGAGATGCCATGATTTTCCCGCCACTCTTTTGCAACTTTGCATCCATGGACCAGTGCACCATCTTCCATCAAGGTCATGTCATCTGAGCTCATACCGGAGGTGAGAAAAGGTTGGACACTGCTCATACACTTGTTCCACAAAGTCTGGCCCGGTTTGTTTTCCCAACTCCATAAAGACAAGATTGAGCTTGGTGGTCTTTACAAAAGCCCCCCAGATCATCACAGAGGTACAACCACTCTTGAAAGTTGGAACTAAGCATTCATTACGATATTTTTCTGTGGGCTTACGCCAGACTCAAACTTTCTTGGAGAGTTTGCCAACCTGAAACAAAGACTTGTCCAACCAGATGATTTTCTTCCAATCGGCCACAGTCCAATGCTGATGGAGGCGTGCAAAATCAAGCTGCCTCTGAATGTGGTCGTCTTTGAGGAAAGGTTTACTAGCTGGGACACTAGAATGGTAGCCGAGTTTGTGGAATACTGAGCGGATTAGACTTGGACTAGCATCAAGACCCAATTTGGAGGTTATATGTGCAGCAGATGCACGTTGGTCTCTTTTGATTTCTTCCTCCACATGCTGAATGTCTTGAACTGAAAGCTTTGGTGACCTTCCCAAAGATTTGACTGGTATAAGATTGTGAGTCCTCTTATACCTCTGGATGACTGTTGATATTGGACCTTGTGGTCACCCCAAATGCTTAGCTATCTTACTTCCGCTCATACCCCCATCATGGAGACCAGCTATATGGCCCAGCTCATCAGGTCTGAGATTACGAGTCTTCATGTGTGTAATGAAATAAACTTGATCGTCAAAGTTGGTGTTGGAGTGGGTTCTGGGAATTTTATAACTTCAAGTCTGAGGAGGTCAATTCACTGATTATACACAGTTGTATACACTTGTCCGGCTAGTAAGCTAGTCGGGGCCAGGGGGTGACGTAAACTTTTTGTGTCTGCTTGTACAAGTAGACACAGAAAAGACATGACACCCTTGGGGCCAAAAGATCACTACTGGGTGACATATACTTTCTGTGTCTACTTCTACACAGCTCCTTTTTGTGCTCTGCCACAACCACAGGGTCCTCATCAACTTAAATGCTTCCCAGAGCCCAGCAAGCTCAGGCTGCCAGAAAAACCTGGACAAATTTGGTGGTGCTTTTGAAGGTTCAAATTTGTCCATCCCAAAATGGAACACTCAACTCTGACATACAATCATGATCAGCAAGTCAAGGCAATGAGTAAGTTGAAAGGCAAATTGAATTGTGTGCAATGTAAACATGACAATACCTCTTTAATCTGGTGTTTAACAGTGTCTTGGTATGGCCTTGGCTCTGGTACAATGCAATTGTGAGTGATTCATTATGAGGAATTTCAAAACTAAAAAATAAAGACATGAATACTCACATCAGAATATTAATAGACATCTGAACAATGCCAAATACACCTCAGTGACACACAATGTCAAAGTTGTAGTTCCTCAAGGGCTAGAGGCTACCACTGTTGAGAACACTGAGCTCCAATGGGTGGAAGGCAATTCTTTTTGGGTGTCCCTTTGGAATTCCCTTTGGAATTCTAGGCATAACAGATCTGAGGTATTTGGCAGGACTGAAGATGGCAGATAGAAACAAGCAGAAAATGGGATATGATATTAATAGTCAAAACTTAAACATACTGCTGGGAAAAGATTTGAAGGAGGTAAAGTAAAAAGAAGATATCCTCAAGGTATATAAGGACAAAACGGGGCTCACCATGTGTCAAGACTTCTATCTAGAACTCTGATTTCCTTCATTATATTGGAGTTCACTGATGCCAGAGACATATCTTGATGTAGCTGTTGAGATGCGGAGCCATCAAAAGGAATCAGATTGAACAACTCAATGACTGCAAAGCCACACCTCTGGGATTATGGAGTTGTTGGCCCGGCCAAATCAACAATGGATTGGGTGACCCAAAGAAATCAGTACATGACAATGAAGGCTTGAGGAAACGGTATGGTGGGAGGGTATTGCTATTGAAATAGTTGCCCAAAGGAAAGATTGGATTGGGTGACCAAAAGAGATTAACACGAGGCAATGAAGGCTTAAGGAAAAGGGTTGGTGGAGTGTGGATCAAGGGTATTGATATAGAAATCTTGATGATGAACCAATGAGGATAAGATATTGTAGTAGTACTCATTCAAACAAGGTGTGGGCTGGAATCTGAGATACAATGAGTATTTGGCACAGAGGGGGGTAGGGCCCATGCAAGTATGTGGGACCCTTTTGGACTAACAAATGAGTTGTACAGCTGCCTGTACAACTCTGTCAGTAGCTGTCACTCTCAACCAAGATTATGATACACCTCCATCATGCCATGCCACCCAAAATGTGAGCCTTCACATATCCCCTAACCCTTCTCTTCTGGCAAAAGCTTGCCTGGGTATTCCCTAAACACTCTCCGCTCTGAGCTCAGATCTGTAACAGATGTGTGAAAACCAATAAACTTGTTCTCCACCATCTTTGACTCCTTTCAGGAGGCTTCTCAGAGGTGCAAAACCGGTTGGTCAAAATATTGCCCAACCCCTAGTGTGGTTGGACCATAAACAATTGGACTGCAGCCTGCGGGGTTCAGACTGTACCACACCACACCACTGGCCGTATTTCTACATGGGGTGTGTTGTTGCTAAGCTTACCTGCCAGACTTGTGCATGTGTGCACTATTAGCTATATGTAACTCATTGAGTTGTTTCACGTTCCATACTCAGATTTTTGACACTTTCCTGGTCATGTGGAACCATCATGGTATCTTACAATCTGCAGACATGAAATCTTCACAATTTGATATTCAACTACGCTATACAAGGGGTATGACTTATCTTGAAGGGGCAGTCCCAGTCCCAGCCCAACCAGGCCTCTATGACCCAAAGAGCCTGCGCCAGTGGGAGTTGAGGGCTGTCAAACCAAAGATCTGACCAAAATGTGATTGATTTCACAAAAAAAGTGAGATAACAATAGCAAAAAGTTTGGTTCTTTTGTATTGACCTGTCATTCATGTTGCCAGTAGTGACCATAAGGTACCATGATTGAGAAAGACAATAGTTTATCTACAAAACCTCCCAACAATGACCTCTTTGGGGTTATTCCTTGGAGCTTTCAAAGGTACATGAGTATACCCATTCTTTGGCAATATAACTCAATAGATTAAGAAATGATGTGGCCCTGGGCCAATATTCTAGTTACTTCAAGTTCAAGGCTGAGACCGGGGCTCAGCCAAAGATCACTTGGGCTGAAGAGGTCCAGCCTAGAAAATAGCGGGGTCAGTGAAGGTTTGGAACTTTGTGTGCAGGTGTCAATCAGCTCAACAGGTTTCCCTAATCAATGCTACATTCATGACATGGCATTTCAACTGTTGATGTTGATTGAAAAGAGGTAAAGGACATTGTAAGTATAACATTGATCATTTTACAATATTTCAGGTAATATGCATGTTGTCTGTTTATGACCAAGTAAAGTGATAAAGAAGCCGTAAGTCAAAGAGAAATCAGGCACTAACAGAACATGCCTTAAACAAGACGTACAATGTTCTCCAAAGATAAAGATGAAGAGTGAGAGGGAAGAACGAGTATAAAATGTCAATATAACTAATACGACGGAGCAGAAAAAACGTAATATGGAAAATGTTTCTGTAGTGTACAAGACAAATAGTGATTATTACAACCTCGTGATTCAAACAAGCGATCCGAAACAAAGACGTACAAATAAAGCCAACATACGATGAAAGATGAAAAGTTAGGTTGATCATGATCACATCGAATCAATATAAAGATCACCAAACAAATAGGCGTTTGTCAGTCGTCCCAGAACCTCCTCCTCGAGGAGAGTTCTGATATTGAGATGGGTTATTCGGATTAGACTGTCGTTGAAAAGAAGATTGTTTGGTTCTAGCTATCCTTTTCTCCGATTCATGACGGATCCAAGATAAAGCGTCTGTAAGATCGCGTTTAGTAATTTGTTCGACCTCAATACCAAAGAGCGGTGCCCATTCGAGCATCAGAGCACCGGATCTATCCATCTGTGGATCTGCTCCTGGTACCGGTCCATGGGTATGAGACGTCGGATGTTGAGCTGATGTGCCGTTTGAGGTAGACGTGGTTTCAGGTTTGGTCGGTGTGTTGGTTTCGGGCGGAACATATACAGCCAGGGTACAATGATAAGGCTCTCCAGTTTCTTGTGATTGTTGCCAATGCGCACACTGCAGTACTGAACGAAGTCGACGTGGCATGTCTGTACCGTCGAGGGCACGTTGCGTGGTGTTATCTTCGTCAAGGATTTCAGTGATACTGATGACATCCATAGGTGGGGGTATAAAGCCTTTTCTGAGTTCGTCCCATGAACATTCCTCACCAGTCACTTGCGGTGAGAAACTTTGAGAAGCTCTTCCTCGCGAGGCCGGCAGTTTCTGGAATTGATGATCTAACCAATCTGTAGCATCACGCACAAGGCCACGAATGGGACGAGGGTACGTTTTCAATAAATCAAGAGTTGAGATAACTAGAGTAGGTCGATTGATTAGCTGAATCACCAATAAATCGGACAAGTCTAGTAAAAAAGATCTTACCATCTAAAGGAATTACAATTCGATATTTTCCTTCGGCTTTCCATCTTTTCAGGACTGGAAGCGCAAAGATCAAGATGGAAGTGTCGATGATCTTGATTTGTGTCGGACCTTTCTCTTGCCTGGTAAAGCTAGATGAGCCAGCGGGGTTTTGATTGGTATCTGACTTCATCTTGATCTTTCGAGGTGAATCAGCTTGTCTCGTACGAGAGGACTGATTACGAGGATGATGAGGTTGATAGATATCCCGACGAAAGGACATGTCATCCAAATTTCTTTCGAGTTGTTGAACTTGATGCTGTAGAAAAGCAGCACCAAGGGCTCGAGACATTCGTTCACGTTCATCTGAAGTTTTTCCATTCGGGTTAGTTGTTTTATTGTTAGAGTTGTTCGGTTCGATATCTTGACCGTTCATAGTGATTTTGTCAGATCGTTCAACAGTTGAGTGAATGCGCTTGAATTGATATGGATTTGAAGCGACCGCTTGCGTTGTTCCCAAAGGGCCTCGGGGCCGGATAACCAGCTTCGAACCCCGGATCAGAGTATCAGTCTTATGCAGTCCGCAAGAAAATATAACACCTGCTTTTTAACTCGTTCAGATTGTACCTACTCAAGCTTTTTTGACTGAATCCAGCAGATCACTCAGTATGTATCGGGCTGATTCTCTCTGAAAATCTTCAGGAATTTTCATCTACCTACCTAAAAAAGCACAAAGTCCAACCTGGCTGTGCTTTACGCACCAAAGGCCCCACACATGATATCCATAGATATTTGTTGAGTGACTTCCCCAGGAAGACTTGCAGATGAGAGTATCAAAAAACTAGAGTACATTACAAAAAAATTATTGAAAAAACTGTTTTCAGCAGGATGCCATATGATAGGACAGTTTTATGTGACTTTGCATGTTCCAAGAATGATATAATGGTGGCGGATCATTGTGTTGTTACAGTTGTTATTGATGATACATTTTCCGCTTTCTTAGGAGAGTTTTGGAAATTGAATTTTTGGGTTACCATATGCGTTACAACTTATAGGATGAATGATTCACAGTGTCTGTCACTTGGATTGGGCTGACCTCCTTGGCAAGTTTTTGGAATTCACTTTGGTAGACGGGGTGTAGGTTAGATATGGGAAGAAAGTATACCGGGTGGTTTACAGATTTACCAAGCGGCACCCACCTGAAGCACGGATGATGGTCACAGGCCGGTTGAGCAAAGTCCCTTGATCGAAATCAAATGGTAGAAAACCGCAAGTATTGCTTGACTTGAGATAGAGGAGCAGTGCGAGAATTCACGTGGTACATAGAAGTTGAACAGCCCTCAGGAGCTGGGAACAAAAGAAACACGGTAGATTGTTCTTCCTACACATAAATACCAGGGTCACTTCTGTGCACGTGCGCTATACGAGAGATGGAAAAGATGAAAAACGGATTGAACCTAAGGGGACTCTCCTGAAGATGTTCCATATGTGAATAGTCAGATATATGACTAGAATTCTTTACATAAATCCAAGATCTCTTCTCATAAAACCACGTGCAAGGACAAACGAACCGGAGATACAGATACAAGAAAAAGTGAAATTCAGACAAGATATAGAATTGAAGAAAAAACATCAAGACAACTGATACATAAAAAAAGTAAATTAAAAAGGATTCCATAAAAGATAATAAAAAAAATCATCCTATACTAGCCACAATCTCAATCTTAATCCTTGAGATCTCCGAGTCTCATCCGCATCACTTTCTTAACAAATCGTTCACATGGATCCCTCAGTAATGGTCTTCCTACCATCCAACACAGTTGAGGTAGTTCCGGATGATCTGAATGCGAGTCATACGTCACAAATCTAGAGCCGACCCTCAGGACTGTATCGGCTGGTAGCATCGATCGAAGCACATCCACTGAGTTCTGACGCTCTCGTCCCGGTTCATCCACATCGGCCTCGACACCCGAAGAATGGTGGGTTGTTCTCTCGGAATGTTTCGGACGGCAAAGTGGTAGCCGTGATTGCGGGTTGGGTTTTTGGGATCTAGCCCCTCGAGAATGCCTCCTAACACCTTGACCACTTGAGTGTCGATTCTTGGTGTGATTGGAATCTGTCGAGCAAGCGACTTCACTTTCCGGGTCAAATGGTAGAGCAGATGCGGCCGCGTAGTCCTCCCTCTTCCAGTCAATCATGTTGTGGGGAACCGAGTAAGATGTCACATCTAATTGGGATGTCGAGGCGACGGCCGATGTGCGATAAAAAGCGCGAGAGGTAGATTGGGCCGACAGGTGAAACGGCTGAGCCTCATCGTGGTCTTTGACGAAGATGAGGGAATGCTGGTTTGGTCTGGATGGGATTTCGTAAGCGAGACGGCGCGCGATCGAGCCAATCTCAGTAGGTGCTGATCCACCGAGTACTATTGCGTCGTGGAGGTCGTCTACTTGCTCATCTACCATATTGCCATGCATCTCGAGATGATGAGAGGTCGATGCTGCAGGTTGTCGAATTGGCCCGTGTGCGATAGATTCCATCGGTCGTGCAAGAGTCCCTTCCTCGACGCGATGCCTAGTTGGTAGTGCGTTGAAACCTAAAGGGCAACACAATCAGAATGTCGGTCCAATCGTTTTCAGTAAAGAGGTAGCTGAAAGTTAACCTACGACTCAAAACCTGCTGGTCATACAACGAGCGAGTATCATAAAGGACACGTTTCGCACACAATGGGGGGAAGGGTAGAGATGGACCCTGGAAGCAAGAAGTCGATGTGGATTGAGGGTTCATTTTGGAATGAAGCGGAGAATGTGAGTGATAGGATGAAGAGGATGAAATTGTTCTGTGATATGGATGATAGTACAAGATGAGAATTGAGAAAGTCTGATACTAGAAAAGATGATATTGAGGATATGATATCGAGGATATGATAAATATTCAAATGATAGCTTTGGAGATGATATAAGAACTCATAAGCTGAACGATAAATGTGTGCTGGGAATAAAGATTCGGAGGGTTATGGTGCCCTTTATATAGGGCAGAACAGAAAGAATCACATCCGAAACCAGTCGCGTCCTGCTTTCTATCTTCTCAACTTGATTCGTCTTCGTCATTCCGCCCTTCCCAAACGCATGTTGGGCCATAAAAGAGAGCTCTCGATTGGCTCGGCAATGTCACATTCCTCACCGATCGCAAAAAGTTACTATTGCCACCACTTTTGATAGAGCCAGAGACTCATAGCGTCAAGTGCATTGTCCATTTTGAGCAGCCATCTCTTTCGTGCCTTTTCCTTGTAGGAAAGGCGCGTCCTCATCGTAGAAATTTACACCGAAGTTTAACCACAACGATAGAGAACCCATGATTGATTAAGAGTGCAGCTTTCCAAGGGGAAGGTTTTGATTTGTCATCAGTTTAAAGGTAAACAAAATGATTAGCAGGTCCGCAAGGTTTGTAGCAATGTAGATGGCGCGCTTCGCATGCTTCGACAGCTCATCGGCCCTCTCATCGTTGAGCAAATAGTGCAGCTATCCCCAACCATGAACACGCCATCCCTCTTCCGGAGGACCGGGAATCAGTGCACACGCACCTCATGAATCTTCTTGTTTCATTTCCCAGCTATCCTCAGTGACTAAGATTTACGTGGCTCTATAACATAAGTCACACGATCAGTGACTCTTAAGAAATCGTTCGCACTGGCAAAGGCTGACTGAGCCATCGTCTTAGTTGTCGATAAAGTTACAAAGATCTTGTAGTTGCAAAAATATAGATTCAAAAATATGTCCATCTTGGAGGAGTGAGATACATGGTATTTTGGATTTGATCAGAACGATGACAAAACTGATATATAATCCAAACCAATCATTTCTTGTTTGCTTTCTCTTCAAACCATCCTTTGAATTCCGATTAACTGAAAGACATCATACCTCTATAACACCATGAATCATTCCTCACCTTTTTATATAAATCAAAAATTCCCAATTCCTTAAATGATAAAACACTACAAAGCAAGTATCGGGAAAAAGACCTGATCAAAAAAGAAAAACTCAATTGCTTAAACAAAACAAAACTCTACTACAACTAAACCCAAACCCACATTTCGTTTGTTCTTCTATACAAAATCAATAAATTACAAAACCATATCTAGGAAATAATTTTGATCTCAATGGAATCATTTTCAAAATCAAACCACTTGAATTTCAAACTTATAAAAATTAATCACTTGATCATTTTCCCAAACTTTAATGTAACTTTCAACTTTACCTAATCCAATCCCAATTAAATTCCTTTTAATTTCAAAGCTTTCATCAACTTTTAAAACTTTCATCATCTTTTTTAAATCTTTACCCGCTTGTTTTTCTTGATAATTTATTTGTTGTCCATTTATTAATAAAATCTCTTCATTACTAACTCTAATTTCAAATCCGATTCTCATTTCTCGTTCTATTCAAATCCCCAAACCCAAATATATAAGTAAAAGTGAAGACTTTAAAGGAACATGTAAAGATGAAAACTAACGAGTTCGATTAGTGAACCTAATCACCATTTCAACAAATTCTTCAATTTGTATACACTTGATCAAATCAAGATTCAAGACCGAAATTTCAATTTCTTTAGACTTTAAAACTTTTACCATCCCTTGATCGAATCTACGATTCATACTTCTAAGATCTAATTCTCCTTTTCTAATCCCTCCAATCTATTCAAAGACCCAAATTTCAAAGATCCCTCATCAATCAAATAATACAAAGAACTCCAAAAAAACAAAACCAAAGTAAACTTACCTCGTTCCATGAAACTTGAATCGATTCTAAAAGTTTCTCTCGAATCCAAAAAGCTTCATTCCTAGCCAAACTATCTTTTTCAAAATCATGATCATCTTCATCATCTTGATTAGTAGAACTAGCCACAATAAATTGTCGATTAGAATCCAAAGATGGAATCGGGACTTGAACTTCAGATTCAGTTAAAGTAATCTTTTTGATCGTAGTAAAGATCCTAAGTTTCAAATAGTCAAAAGCAGTTAGAGAACTCAAGAAGAGATGTTGAAAAATAATGATAGAGACAAAGAAGAGACACAAACAAGACAGTTGATCCTGCCTCTACCCTTTGTTTTCCTACTACACAATCATCTACATCTAATAATCCCAGATCAAAGACCATAAAAGATATCAGCTCACAAGCCGTCGAATATTAAATTGAGTAAAGAGAGAAAACTGACTATCAAATCCAACTTCTAAAGCTTTCCCATTCCCCACCACATTCTTAACCTTAATCCCAACCCAACATTTTTCTGTAACATCCATCTCATCCTCCCAAACCAAAAAATCCACAATCTCTAAAACCTTAAGAACAGTCACACGAATCTCTTCTTTACATTCTCTCATCCAATTCCCTCCTTCAAGTCCACCATACCTAACTAAAACTTGTGCAGATCCAAGTCCAATCTTACCAATGACTTGAATTCGAATCTCTTCTTGATCATTTGTGATTTCATCTTGAACGATTAATGAAGGTCGATGAAACAATTCAAATTCAAGATGATAAATTTCTTCAGTTGAGAAAATCTTAGATAAAGATGATCTTTTAAGTTCTTGTTTAATTCTTAATTGTCTATCATCTATCACTTCTACTTCTTTCCAACCAATCCTTACCTTTGATTCATTCTCAATCTCAAATTCAATCATCACTCTTTTTTCAAACAAAATCATCCAAACAAATCGCATCAGAAAGAAAAACTCATGGCTGAACTCATCTAATCTAAACTAAGTTAAATCAAACTCACTTTTCGCCATCCCAAATCGTCAAGTGTCTCTCTACAAGGTTTTTACTCAATGGAATCACTTTCAAGACCGGTAATCGATCCACAACCAAACATTCCATATACTGATCTTCTTTCTTTTTCTTTTGATTCCCTATCACCATAGGAACCAAAAACTCTCTCGAAACCAAATTCACAGCACTACCTAAATCAATCCAAGTTCCTTTGACAAACAAACTTCCAACTTCTTGAGGCGAGCAGGTTAATTTGATCGTCTTGATTGAAGATGGACCGATCCTAATTGAATGACGTTGAGAAGAGACATGAACTCCTGTCGTACTAAAACAGAGTCAGTATATGCCACACTAACTACTACACTTTGTGAACAAAAAAATCTCAAACACCTTAATCTAATATTTGAAATCTCCAATTCAAATAACAATGGATTTTGTAAAGTGATCAAAAAAACCGCAGGTTCTCCAACCACCAAAGTACCGATTTTTTTAGACAATCTAGAATTCAAAGTTCCAAGTTTCATAGAATTTTGTAGTGGAGCATAAAAAAATGTAGAACTTTTTAGATTCGAATTAAGGATTGGATTTGATTTTTTCAAAAGTTTAGGAATCGGTTCAAGTCTTTTACTAAGCCTACAAATCAAACCAAAAAAGAAACATTCACAAAGAAAGATCAGAATCAAAAAAGAAAAGAAAAAGTGAAAGGAAAAGGAATTGAAAGGCAAAAGGAAGTGACTCAAAAACGACATAAGTTCAATAGCTAAAATCATTTTTTCAGGACCCCACCAAATCGAATGTGATTCATCAATTTTTACTTGATTTAAAAGTTTAGGAATTTGATCCATTAATTTTAAACTATCTTCCATAATTGATTGATTCGAATTTTCATCAATTTCATCATTTTTAATTTGAGATTGAAGTAATTTAGAAAGTTTAAGATTCAGTTTTAATAAACCAAATTCATCTGAAATCATTTCTGCAAGGATAATTCCATCTTTGATTAAACCTATTTTGATATCTAACCAACCTGATTCTTCTACTTCTTCTATTGAAGTACCTTCTGTAAGATCAGTGTCAATTTGAACTTTGTATACTTTAAAGATTTCGTTCATCAATCGAGTCAAGTTTTTGGCTTGTTGATGAAGTTGATGATGATTTAAGTTTTGAAGCATCACACCAATCAATTCACGTTTCATCCATGCTGCTTTCCTTTGATAATCAATCTGATCATACCAATAGATCAGTTGAGTCAAACTTCGAATCCGATCACTCGGTACTAAGCTGACCAATTCAGGAATATAAACTCTAGAAGCAAGCTCAGAAATCGAACTTCGAGTCAGAGAAATCAAATTTCCGTCTTCTCTTTTCTTCCGATCATCTTTTCCTACTGTGGATCTTGTAGTTGATGTTCCACTGCTCTTAAATCCAAATAAACTCCAAAGAGCTTCATGGATCGGTTTAGATTCATGATAAGCTTTCCAAAGCGTTCCACGTATGGTAAGTAAACGTAAACCGGTTTGAACATAAATAATGGGTGGTAAATGATCTGATGAGTTAGGATCGAGTTTCATAGGTTTTGAATATATGCCTAAAGCCTGCTCATAGCTATCAAACACTTCATTAATCAATGAGACAAGATTAAGCCCAGGATCGGCAGATGTGTTGGTATTTGTAGAACTGGAATCAACTTGATGGTGATCATGGATGTGAATCATCACTTTGGTCAAACTTAATCTTTCTAGAGCTGAAGCTAACCAAACTAAATCATTTGAAGTTCGTGAAATCGAAATCGCTTGAGTATAAAGTTTAACAGCTTCATCAAGTTCACCAATCATTAAACATAAATCTGCATCAAACTTCTTGATTCGACCCGAGAGTTTCTTACGTGTACGTGAGTCGATGACAAGCGAAGTAGGTCTAGGGTTACTGAGAGGACTGGTAGCAGATTGAGATGGTGATAATGAGTCACTGTATGCTCTATGTGGTTTCTGTAAAGATTGAGAGTTGAGACTTGGAGATAAAGATCTAGGATATGAAGTTTGAGCATTTAGACTCAATGAATGCGTAGTATGTTGAGGACGTGGTGAGGCAGGAGGAGTGGCAGTTTGAGATGGTAAAGGGTTTTCCACATCAGTGAGTAGATGCGCAACAGGTTGACGTGCCTTTGGAGCTGCTTGAATTGGTTTTTGAAAATGATGGGTTCGAGAAGGAGAAGATGATGTTGATGAAGTAGTTTGATGATTGTGATTAGGATGAGTATTGAAAGATGAAGCCAATGGTGGAATGAGTGGAAGTAAATCAAAGATAGTTTCATGAATTGAAGGATGTGGACTGTTTAAAGTCGAAATTGATGAAAGTAAACTTGATAAATGTCGAAATCGAATGATCAGATCAGAAGCAAAATCGGCCATCAATCGATTCACGTAAAATGATTGATCACCAATATGTGGTATGATGACCAGACCATCAACATTATCAGCCTGAGAATCGATTGGATTAAAACCAAAACATTTAGCTAAGAGCGTACGAGGATAATGAGTTTCAAGATTAGATTTAAATGAATTATATGCATCTTGAAGTGATTGAGGTTGAGGTTGATGAGATGATGATGATGACCATTCTCGACAATCGATGATTCCAATCACACCAATCAAATGTCGATGTGGTTCAAATGTTTTCAAATGATTAGATTCACTCGTTAATGTTTGATGACTGTTACTATAAGAAGCATAGTTATTTAAAAAGTTAAATTGAATTTGATTTGAACTTGATGATGATGAGTGGTGATTGAATTGAGTTTGATGTTGATGCTGAGGAAGATTGATTAGTTCTTGAGATGAGAATGAACTGAATTGTTCAAAGATTGCCACTTGTTCTTCATAAATTGACCTTTTGATAGGTTGGATTGGTAATAATAAAATAGAAATTGAAACTATTGATCTTAAGCTGTTCAATGAACTTTCTTTCTCCATCTCTATCATCCTCTCATTCCAATCATCAACTTGTTAATAAGTAACCCCCTGATAAACTTCAATCCTTCATTTCAGTTCAATTCATCTTCAGGTTTCGCGGTGGTTTGATGATGTTGATCGACTTTTCTTGGATTGCTTGCTGTATCGATCGACAGAACGCGTTGTGGTTGTAGTTTCTTGAATCTTGATCGAGCTCAGCATTTCTGCTGAGCCTACCCGATCTTGGCCCTGATCTCTGAGCGCGGCCCATTGGGAGCGCGCCGGACCGGATCCGAGCAAATACACCGAGGGCGATAGACCCTGGCTTGATCGGGGCTTCAAGGTCGGACTTGATCACTGCGGTGGGCATGCAGCAGCAGACACGGTAGAGCACGGCAGACCACAGAGATTTTGGAGGTGCAGCCCCGGCTCCAGTCTCATTGTACATACCAATTTGATCAGCTCCTTCAAGAAAGCCTACCACCCATCAATCAAGTGTAATACTTCTCTTGTAACCATTTAACCAGGCTCCCTTCATACTTATCTTCTGGATGGGGTTTTGTAAATATTCAACTGACAGTGATACCTGGAGTGGAGCGGTATATCCTACTATAGACCTTCTTGAGATTCAACAGTTCTCAAAGAATTTGTGGGCCGTGAATCTGATACCAGGGTAAAGCCCAGTAAACATATTCTGAAGAACCGCACACCAATCACACACTACACGGTAACAGTGATTTGAAAAATCAGGACAGCCAGTGAGGGTATGAGTCCAATTCAATCCAGTCTCCTTACATCTCAAGTTGGAAATTGAATGTATTATCAGATTTTCCGGTGATATCAAAACTTCCAATTGATAGTAACTGAGTCAAGTGGTACACTGATTTGTATTCCTCATAATCGTGACCTCTCGTTCCATAATCATCCCACAGCAATCTCTCCCGTTAATTTAAACCAAAAAAAAAATCGAGCACACCAAAGAAAAAACGCATACATTTTGTTTTACAGCTTCAATCAAATTTTAACCCTAGGCCTGTTACAATACTATCATTGTCACCTAATCCATTGAAAGTAATATGGAATTAATGAAACAGTTCTGATCACTTGATTAAAGAAAACCACATACCATCTTCTCTGCCGATCATCAATTCCACCCCCCATAATCCAAGTGTCACAAATACATTGGTCCTAACATAGTGAAAGAATGTCAGCTTATGCCCATAGATCTACAACTTGAAGAAGACAAGATTAAATTATCCTACCATCTCCAAAATACTTGATGTCCCTCGTTGTTGACTAATAATAGATGGGTATAAACTGATATCTAAGAACAAACAGTAACGAAGCAAGACGGGCCATTCGTTGAATATCGATCAGTTCTCTCGAGCTCGGGGTCAGTTCGATGACTTATCAATAGCAGCCTGATCCAAACTGACCAAAATCAACCTTGAGTATGATAAGACAACTGTCATGATGCGAATCATTGGTTCTTCATCACTTAGCCTGCGCGTGTAATCAAAGCCTCCATGCGCACGCTTGATCGCCACCACAATCCGACTTGCGCCATAGAGTACTACCAATCTATACAGTAGATTGATAAATACCGGTAATGGAAGAGCGGAAGAGCATGCTAATAAAAAATCCAACCCGGCCCCAAACGTGGTCGAGATAAAACTCATGATGGTTGTGGCACTACACAATTACATGAAGTGTCAATCGATAACTATGTGGATCTGAGTAGGTTACGCTTGATTCGAGTAACTCACGACCTAAGAATCATAGGCGGTAGCGGTGGATCAACTGTGGACTTGAATGAGCTAAAGAAGGAGACTGGATCCAATTTTTCCGGCGAAAGCCCTAAGAAGTGGTGAACGGATACGGATCAACGACAAGAAAAGAGAAAAGATCGAGCCGATGTCATTTTGGAGGAAGAAACACTCAACAGTAAATGTTATAGCTCAGGTAAGCCATCATCAAGCTCGTCTCAACTACGTTGCCCTTCCGATTGCTGATTGCGATCCCACTCAAGAATACCACACTCGTCACACTTACTCCAATCAACGTAGCGGATAAACTCTCACGGGCCGAGTAGGAATAAGAATTGAACAGGAAATACGCCGAACCGACATAAATCGCAGCAGAGGTGATGAGGAACAAGAAAGAATATGATTCGTTCCGGGATTCGACGATGAACCGAGAAATTTGTCCAACGGATTGTATACAAAGTAGAGTAGATCTGTTCGAGATTGAATAGTGAAAAGTTGGCGTCAGTTTTGGCTATATGCTCTCATGCGGTTTTGCTCATAACCAGTTGAGATAAGAAGACTAAAGGAAAAACTGACATGCCTTCAAGCAGAACAAAGATTGGAGTAGACCAAGTCAAGATCATTTGCCACCATCCTGGAACTCTTTTCAAAACGCTTGCCATCCAGCCAAACCACGTCTGACTTTCGGAAAGCAGAGGTGTATCGAGAGAATACAAATTGAAGCATGCCAATAAGAAGATTGGGATGAACAGATTTTGAGAAATCCCAAACTAAAGAAATCGGAGTGATCGATCGAACCATATCAGCCTATGGAATATGGGACTGCTGTGAAGCTTTTTCTGAAACAGATAGAAGAACCCGCGTTGCTCAACTAATTTGTAAGTGAATGCAAAACGAGTGTTGCGAGTCACGAGATAGACCGTGGCATGCGCCGAGTGATAAAATGCAAGGCACTATCGAGGTGAAGCCATTTCAAATCGTACTTTGTAAGCTCAATTTGTATCATCCTTTACAAGACCGCTTGAAGTCTTACAGCTGATAAAGCCAAAAAGCATTCTTTACCAGCAATCTAGGAGTTGGAAAGAGAACGGTCTTCAATCAGAACTTGGGTTGTAACAGCTTTTTTGAGTGCTCCAGTGCATGTTTGTTTTCTTGTTAACTCATCTCTTACTCACATCTAGTGCTAATGGGAGGTAAAGCAAGGTCTGACAAAACGATACAGTCCGACTGAAGTTGGTAAGTAATCTCTTGAGCATCGTTCGTCAGGCGGTCAGCTGACCAAGCGAAGTTTCAACCAAAAACGGGTTCGCAGAGACTTCGATGAAGATAGTACAGGAGAATCTTGATAAACTCTTGCTGACGGGCATGAAAGGAATTTTCAATGTTGATCACCAATTATCCATCGGTTTCATAACGCCCGGGTCGGGTGTTCCTGTGTGTGACCCGCTTACCGGTACAATCACAGTCATCGGTCAACTTCACCCCCAGGCTGAAGCACGGTCCAGAGTGCAGACTCGAACGGCGCCAAGGTCGATATCAAGACCGGAGAGTTGAAGGATCACCACTGACGCACTCATCAAACACCATCAGCACATGTTCGCATATTCACTACTACCCAAGTCTGCCATCAAGGCCATCCTACATGCATCCAAGTACCCTCACTCCACCGTCATAGGTCTATTGCTAGGTTCGATCGAAAACGAAAGTGTATCGATCTCAGATGCGATCCCATTGGTTCATCATTGGTCCGATCTCTCTCCTATGCTTGAAGCCGGTCTGGCTATCGTACGTGGTCTATCAAGATCTATTACAATCTGTGGTTCTTATCCTTGAAGACTGAACTGCTTCTCAGGCAGATGGACACGCACGCTCGAGTAATCTGATGATCGTAGGGACTTATGTCGCTCGAGCTCGACTTGATGATCGAGCGCTAGATTGGGTATCACAGCAGCTTAATAGCTTACTTGAATTCAAACATCCGATCGCTTTAGTGGTCAGTCATCATCTCCAGTCTAATAAAATTGCCATCCTACCCAGATCTTCTTCAGTTGATTAATCCTTAATACTTTTTTACAATTCTAGATCGATAACACGAAGTTACGCAAGGCTGAAAACCCTTTCATAGTTGAGTACACCAACACACACCAAAATTTCTTGTATCAAACTCGCATACCTTTCATTTTACTGAACTTCACAACTCGTTCCTTCTTTTTCTTTTTATAATGATGAATCTGATAGCCTTTCCTAATGACCGACTCCCAAGGCTCTTGGTCAAATGCTACACCAAACCAATTCAATTATACACCTTCTAAAACCCTAACTTCATGTCAACCTACTGACCTGGCAGACTTTGATGATCATCTTGAAGATATTGGACTTGATTGGCTTGTGAATCCATCTGTAACAGTTGTTTCATCTTGATCTTCATCATTCAGCTTTCTGATCCCTACCTTTACCCTAGTACCGTGCTATGTCACCTCTGATGTTGTTGTTCTGACCAATTGCAATTGTTTTGAGAGAGAAACCCAATTTATTGATTGCTCAAGAGTTGTTTCTTGTTCGGGTACTTGGCCAAAAGATAACCTTCAGTGATAAGGTGATGATGGTTGGTCTACTTGGTCAGATGGTGGTCAAAGCTCATTTCTAAGCTTTAAAAACTTGTGTACCCAGCCCATCCTCTTGTCCAATTTACCAACAGTTATAATAGTAACAATCTACTGAATTTTCACTGATTTATTTTCTCCATTGTGAGTTGAACTTCCAAATGAAAATGTTACAAGTAAAAAATGCAACTCAGTTGAAACAGCCAACAGCAACCTTTCCCCTGACACAGCCAGAGGGGTTTTACCTGTGCTGGAAAACATTTGCAGTGTCTAATAGTGGAAAGGCTCTAATGCCATTGAAAAGCAATGAATCAAAAAAAGTAACTGTGAATATGTTTGGTGTTTTGAAAAACAGTTGAATAATCTGTCTGTATGCACAACAGCACTTATGAGCAACACTTATCTTCTACGCAATTCAACAAAAAATGATCTGACCTAAAACAGTAGACAACAGTATGAGATGAAGAGTAGAAAAGCTAAAAGTAGAAAAATATCATTACAGCTGTTTCAAAAAAATGCTGTCCTCCTTGTTTTTTTTTAAAAAAAAGTTGCACTAAAACTTACTAACCTAGATTCTACACAAGAGCCACCGTGTCTGGTCAGGGTTTGCTTGTCAACAAGCGCACACCAACTCCCTTTGAGGCAGAAAGGGAAGTCATGCGTGCTTGTCAACGAGCAAACACTACCCGGACATGGTGAGCTGTAAGCAACTTTTGTAAGGGTGAAAAGCTTGCAAAAGATCATACCACAGGTCAATGACCAAAGGTGGATATGAATCACTCAAATACATGATTAGAGAGGGTAGTGAAGTAATGTGTGTAATCAGAAAGGCGGGGTGGTGAAGACAAGTCAAAAGGTGGGAAGAGACTCAAAAGGGAGATTTGTAATGTACCATCTCAATGTTAATAGCACATTGATTTACTACAGCTGCTTGTATGTAGAATCTATGTCAGTAATTTTTAGTGCAACTTAAAAAAAAGACAAAACAAGGAGAACAACATTTTTTCACAAAACAGCTGTAGTACCTAAATAGAGGTGCTTACAGAACATATTAGTTTACAGCCATTGTAAGATCTACTGGCAGATTTTGAGAGCATTGTGTTGTTACTAGATTTAATGTAGAGGTCAAAAACTCAAAAAAGCACTTTTGAGATGACTCTACTGCCCATTGGTCCCATCTACACCAGAACAACAGTGGCTCGCTAAGCTAAGCTAAAGAATATCCCAACCTAGGCTTAGCTTAGCAAGCATCAGCTAAGGCACAAGCCGCTAAAAAAAGCTTAGCACACTCCCACTAAAGCTGATGAAAAAACTTAGCGGGAAAAAATGGCACCCGCTAAGCTTGACAAATAGCTTAACAGAAAATCATACGCTAAGCCGCTAAAAAGTGGCTTAGCGGCTTAGCGGCTTAGCGGCACTTTTTCGCACTGAAATTTGTAATTTATTTTGATAAAATAACTATTATACAAAGATATTCAAGTTATAATTCCCTTTGCAGCATTCTTAGCTAGAACTCCAGCCACAGTCATCCAATCCCCAACCATTGAAACCTTTTCACGAAGCCACAAGAGGCAACTTACATTTTGCTCAATAGTATGTGGCACCAACCGACCTCGATTTGCTGAGCATACATCAGCAGCAGCGGAAAAAGATCTTTCCCCAGCTGCAGATGAAGCTGGAATTGCTAGGAAATCATGTGCCATAGAGGCAAGGACCGGATAGTGATGTTCATGGTCCTACAATGAATTATGTTAGTGATTAGGTTGTATATAGGCAAAAGTTCAAGATGAAATTACAAGAATAAGATGACTCACATTCCACCATTGTAATACACATTTTGGATCAATTGCCTGATCATCATCCCCTTCTTTCACAACCAGTAACAATGGATGATCTCCTTCAAGATACCTTTTCAGCTCATCTGTACGCTCAGTTTGAGTATCATGGCTGAAGATTTGATAGACAGAAGGAACTTTGCTGATTGGAATCACAAAAGATGATGTTTTGTTGTGTAGCAAGCGTTGGGAATCAAGGACTGCACGCTCAGTCTTGCGATTATCATATGCGCTGGTGAAAGCTGCAAGGGCCTCCACGGTAATTTTATCTTGAGGACCAAAAGTCTTCTCAAAGAAGCGGTGTTGAAAGAGAGGGTTCAAAATAGTAGCAAAGACAAGACTTTCACACTTGAGTGCTTCAGTCCAATACTTTTCCATCCATACCACCATTTTGTTGATCATCGGTGCTAGGGGGTCATCTTTGTGTGTCATAGTCTGACATGTTTTGAGTGATTCCAAGAGGATCAAATACTCAGGTAAAACAATGGATCCATTTGCACTATCCTCCTCAAAACGTTTAGTCAACAAAAGAAAGGGCTGGCAAGTATGAACAAATGTCAGTGGTTAAATCTGCTTCATTCATTACTAAGAACATGAAATAGATGCTTACCAACAACTCTTGATTAAGCGCGTTTAGATCATCCCAGTCACCACCATCAAAGGTGATCCCGTGAAAGTATGTGACTTTCTTCACGTCAGTTCCTCGGCGGTGGTTTGTCAAATGGTATTTGGCTAAATCTTTGCTTAGGATTTGATCAATGACCTAAGTGGAACAATGCATGAGAGTTAAAATAAAAAAGATATTATTAAAAAATTGGTAAAAAAAATCTATGTACTTACTTCACGTGCCTCATATGCTTGGGATTGTCAATCGTAATCGGCATTTCATCAGATTCCATACCCAGCAACCAAAGGGCGCACACTTAGGCATTTGGCCTTCATGCGGCGTTCAAAGACACACCTCCAAGATGCACTTCGATTCATCCTACAACACACAGTGAGGCATTGTTGAAAAAGAAGACAAAAATTAACACACAAAGATCAAAAAGATGAAAATACACAATACTTACATTCTTGTAAAGATTTGCCATTGAGTTCCTGACCGGAGCTTTGGTTGATACAGCAAGAGATTTTTGAACCCTTTGTGTTTCTTCATCTTCATCGGATTCATGACCAGATGCTTCTTCTGAATCGCTATGGTAAGTCTCTTTGGGCAGCTCATCAGGATGATGTTCTGGATTGTCTTCATCATCAACCGTAACATTCTCTTCCACTGATGACTTGTTGTTTTCCTCGGCTTCTTCTTCAATCACAGGCATAATGTTGACCACAGGAAATTGACCAAGGACTGCTTCCTTATTGGCAGGACTGGCTTGTGCATTGATTTCCAAAGTGGACAGACCGTGCTTGACGACAAGCCCGAGCTTGTGACATGCACAGAAGTGATGCATGCGCTTAGGGTCCCAGGTGTATGAGTTGATCCACTTGGAAATTGGCTTGAATGAACCATCACTCTCTTTGTCTGAAGGTGGTTCAAGGTGAGAGGCTGAGGTTTGGGAGGCGGCGATTGGTGTATCTGGTGCCGAGTTGTTTGACTCCGAATGCTCCTGTAGCTGCTTATGAATTTCTTTTGCCATCATACTGTTATTCATACCGCAGTCACCTGGGCGAGCATGTAAGACCATTAGAATGTATGTTAGTCATCAAGTAGCCTACAAAAAACCATTTGAAGAAATAGAAATACACTTATCTTTTTGTAAAGATCATCCTTCTTCAAAATCATGACAATTGGCTTGGCTAACCATTGACTGTGATGATGCCAAGGGACAGTCTTCAAAGTCAAATGTCTGACTTTATATTCCCAGTTTGGAGTAATAAAACATACTGATACCCCACTAAAAACGTGTGTGTTACCTTTTGTCGTCCAGACATCTTGAACTAATGAAAACTGACTATCTAATTCTGTAGAATGTGAGTAGAATTAGCTTGTGATTGATCAATACCTAAGGATAACTTACCTGAAGCTTGGTACAAACCAAATCTTGGAGCAATAGATATAACTGTTTGGCTTCATCTGCCATCCACTTTCTCTTGTAAATACAAACCCCCGGTCGTGCATAGTCCAACGTGGCGCGTCAGGCTGGGTCTTCGATCCGTTTCCAGGGCAAAGCTTGCCTTACAAGCCAAAGACAGAGGAGTCAGTTCATTGTGATGAGTTCGTACTGAAACTTAGATTGCTTGATGCCGAAAGAGGTGAGAGTTGACTGTGTTTTCTTCTTCTCAATTGCCTTGACCTCGGATACTAATGGTGGAAGCTTTGCACCAGCTGTGATGGCCTTTCTTTGTCCAGGACATGATGATCCTCCTGAATCAGCCTGAAAATTTCCGTTGCGATGAACTTTGAGATTCCCTTGTGGGTTGCTGGAGCTGATGCAACACACTTTGGAGAACCAAAGACATTGGTGATGGAGGGGTTTCTTGCTTTGGTCCTTCATGATATACATTGAGGCCGTTAGTTGTATGAAACAAACAAAAAGAAAAAAACTCATAAAAGAAACTCACCTCATCCTTCAAGTGATACGGTTCAGAAAAGTACACAAGCACATCATCATACCCTTCAGCATCCTTTTCTTCACCCTTAGTCTTACTTGTTTGGGCGGAAGACTTGATTCTTTTGATTTTGCTATCGGACTTCTGTGCAAGAGCTGCACAATTGATATCCTTGCTCTGAAATGTAAAAGCAAGGTTAGTTTTAATTAAGAAGTGATTAACTCAGAGTCTAACCTGTGCTGCATCATTTGATTTAGTTCTCTTGTGTTGTTGTTTTTGTTTCTTCTTCTTTTTGTTTTGAGTAAGCTGAATCTTGGTCTTGGTCTTGGTATCACTGGCTTCGGCCTGCTTTCTCTTCTTTTTCAATGGATGGTGCTTTGATGTAGCAATAGAGCAATGTGAATTGGATGACGGTTGAACCATATTTGAGGGTCTTCTGGGGGTGATGATCCGGCTGGTTCTTTGGGGAGGTAAAATTACACCATCATTGGTATTGTGATTCGATTCAGCTGAGTTCAACTGTTCTGACACTACACCAAATGTAATCTTTACC